TCCTCGCCCTTCTGCTCGATCTGGGTGACGGCGGCCTCCTGCTGGACGACGAGGACGTCCATGTCCTGGAAGAGCTGGGCGAGCTCGACCATCTGCTGCTCAATCTTCTGGAGGGCGGCCTGGCGATCCTGGACGGCGTTGAGGACGGCGTTGGCCTGGGCCTGGCGGCCGCTCTGCATGACGGCCTGCTGGAAGATCTGGGCGCCGGCGCCGGCATCCTCAACGGCCTCGCGGACCTCGCGCTCGTCGGCGTCGGGGCGAACAATGCGGTACTGGCGAGCCATCTGGTCCTGGGTGCGCTTGCGGAAGGCGGACTCGACCTGCTGGTACTGCTGGATGGCCCCCTTGAGGCGGCGGTCGACGCGGCCGACCTGGGGCGAGTTCCTGGCCGACTGGCCGTCGGGGCTGGACTTGACTGTGCGGACGCGGTCGGTGAGGGAGCGGTACATGGCCATGGTCTCGGAGGAGAGGGCGTCGAGCTGGCGGGCGGTGGAGGAGTTGGCCGAGGTGTCGGCATCGGTGAGGGATCGCTCCTGCAGCATGCGCAGCTGGTTCAAGTTGGACTCGATCTGGTCGATGCCCTGGTCGATGGAGCGGCACTCGTTGAGGATGGCGTTGGGGTCGGATTGGCCGAAGCCGCTTGCGTTCTGGGCGAGGGATTCCATCTCGACGTTGGCACCTGTTTCGCGGGAAAAAGAAGCACACCTGTCAGCACTCGGAGCGCGAACGACCGGCGCGGTCAGGCCGTACCGTATTGGTCCCTACCCATAGTTGGTCCCTGGTTGTTGTATCTGTTCCCGCCGCCGTAGGGGGCCTGCTGAGGAGGGCCTCCATAGCCTCCCGAGCCTCCATCCCTCTGGTCGAAGGGGTTCTGGCGACCACCGTATCTACCCGAGTCTGTCAGTAATCCGCGTTCCGAGAGGTCGTACTCGTCGTCGTCGTGTATCCCGTCGGCTCCGCGGGAGAGAGAAACATACCCGTACTGCGCCATGATGTTAGTTTCAACGGATAGCGGTGGTTCGATTGGTGTTCAGGTCAAGCGGGTAGGGAGGGATGCCGAGGAAAATGCGCAAAAAAATCGTGAGAAAAAGGGGGAGGGAGGGAAAAAAGGCACAACGGGCTATTATGCAACGCAACCAGGCTGAAGCAAGTATGATGTTTGTGCGAAGAAGGTAGGTGAACCGCTGCAGGTACAAAAAATAAAATCCAAGTACAAAATGGAAAAAGGTTGCGGGTTGGGGTAACGGGAAGGATGTACAAAGTAGCAAAGTAGCAGATTGGACTTTTGTTGCTGTCACTCGACTTCGAGACGTTTTGAATCTTGTAGAAGAAGGGGTGTGGGGGGATAGGATAACAACAAGTTACAGCAAGGTGCAATTGAGGACGACGATGACAGGGTAAGAATGCAAGGTCGGTAAGGGTAGGACAGCGCAACGTGCAGCGTGTAGGGCGAGAAGAGGGAGATAGAGAGAGAGGGACAGGCGGGCGAAACACTAGAGGTTGCGAGGATTGGGATGAAACACTGACACTCATGTTGCTTCTGCGAAGCGCGTAGGCTTCTTCCTTGCGCGACGGCGATTGCGGGCCTTGGGTACTGCTGGGCGCTCACGGGCGAAACGACTTTTGTATGTATGTGTGGGTATGGGTAACGGATTGATGAATCGTCCCAAGGTTCGTGAGCGTCGCACAGTACAGTCGACAGGCAGGCAGGAAGGAAGGAAGGAAGGAAATTGAAGCCTTTGGGTTGATTTGTTGTTTTTGGCAGAAAAGAAGCAAGCTGAGTACGGGCGAAGGAAGAGGTGGGTAATGGGGAGAAAAAAGGGCGAAGACGGAGTAGGGGGTGGTTTGGCGGATGAGACGAAATCGGTAATGTTGTAATGGCGAAAGTGACGGTCACGGACACAGAACAGGCCAGGCTTGGGCGACAGAAGTCTCGGGCCTCTCTTGTCTGTCTGTAGGTAGTACACTAGGTACGGATACGTACTATAATGCTACGTATCCGTAAATTCCCAGTCTTTGGGGGTGTCTGTCGATGGACACGGGGCAGGGGGGGGGGGGGGGGGGAGAGCAACAAGGGAACCAACCCTCCTACTCTGTGGATGACGGTGTGGATGATGGGGAGAGAAGCGAGACGAGGCAAATGGGCCACGGAATCCACAGGACGCAGGGCGTGTGTGCGTCACTATGTGCGTGTCTGTGGCTTGAAGAGCTTCTTTGTAGCAGAAATTCGAATTGTCTGCTGGGGACGGGGGCGCGGTGCTCGGGGTGCCCCTGGCGTGCAGAATGATCGCCGTTTAGGTGGCTCCAGTACGAGAGATGATTGGAGAGGGGGGGGGGGTGTTGGGCGTAGCGTCCCTAGCGCTGGTAATAGCAACACTGAATGAAGTTGTATCTTGTCTTTTTTTTTTCTTTTTTTCTTTCTCTTTCCGTGGGAGAGACGGACGAGTCTGGGAGATTAATGGCTTGTATGTAGGAAGTGCTTGGTTGTAAGTGCGATCGATGAGAGGTTGGCTGAGTAAGGCGACGACGAAGACGACGACTGCGATGGTGGTGATGAGTGTAGAGGTGAGATGAGATTCAGAGTGAGATCCAAGGTCTAATGAGATTGAGTGTGAGCCAGTGAGTGAGTGAGTGTCCGAGGTGTGGCGGCTTAGCAATGTACCAAAGGGCAACAGACGACGGTGACAGCAGGCAGGGGCCACCGATGTAACCAAGAGGAAAGGGGAAGCTCTTTCCTTCCCTCTCTCTCCCTCTCTCTCTTCCTCTCTTTCTCTCTACACGTGTGGTGTATATTGTTCGTCTCTCACCGCTTGGAATATCGACTCGAACGGGCGCGCGGTTGGAGGCTGATTGGATGAGGATCGCCGACGAAGGTGCCTGCGTCTGTTACAGGCGGCGGCCGGTGAAGGCAAATGAAGTTGACGTCGAATGGATTCGAATAAACTTGCCGGAGATGACCTCACACTATGCAGAGACTGTGCTGTGCTGTGCAGGCTATTCTCCTCCCTGCCCGTCACTTTCCGTCACTTTGTTTCTTTTTTTACGAAGCTCGCTCGGACTAAATCGTCTTTGCGCGCAGCGCAATGCCTTCTTTGCACTCTTACGCAGTATGCGCCGTTCTGTCGATGACCTGGCGAGGGGGGCACTGTTCGCTGCCAATGCAATGCAAGGCAAGGCAATGCAAGACAGAGTACGGAGTAGAGCAGACTGAAAAGGCTAAACCTTGGGATGCTGATTGATACACCTACAGCCCTTCGTCTGCGTGGCTGGTTGACGCCTCAAGACGACGACGACGACGACGACGACAACCACGATGGCGAGGATCGACAGGGATGCTGACGGCGGCAGTCGTGAGCCAATCGAGTCGGGATCTTCGGCTTTTCCCCTTTCTGCGCTGAAAGCGGAAGAGAGCGTATCGTTCGCGGCGGTACGGTACGTGTGGGTGTGCGGGTGTGCGGGTGTGTGTGTGCGTGTTCCACAAGCTTGCGAATACCTGACACGGCCAATCAACCCACCCGCTCGATGATACAGCAGATTCGCTCTCCACCCTTTTCCCTTTCGCTTTGGGACGGGGGCGTTTCGTGTTACTCTCTGCTGCTACACAACACTCACTATATGTGGTGTATTTTTGGGATGCTCGTCTTTGTGCTTTTGGGGTTTTTTTTATGGATTGCACCCGAACCTCCTGATGGAGACACGACGTCGATCAAATTCCACGTGGACCTTTTCGTGAAGTGAACCTGTCGAGAACCTCTCGGGTCAGACACAAACGAGGAGGATGCGGCGGCGACGACGACGACGACTCGGTCTTGGATGCGAGTTTCTGTCGGTGACGCTCTTGCGAGGAACGACGCTCGCAGCAGCAAGTCTGAGCGAAGACGGCGCTTGAGCAGCGCGCCTAGAGTCTATTATATAGCTTTGGACCGTTTGAATGAGAGGGGTGAGGAGGAAGGGAGGCTTCTGGACAAGAATTGGGCAAAGATTGCAGAGGGTTCACGATCGCGACCGGAGAAACGGGAACCCGTGCCTCTTAAACCAAAATCACAGTGAATCGGATTGGCATCGCTCACCTCACTCGCCCACCCCCGCTTCCCCTCGCTCGTCAGCTTTCATGTGCCGTCTCGAAAGCGAAGAAAGGCTAGCTGACCCCGATACACATGCGGCTGCAAGCCTCTTCCTCCTCTCCTCCTCCTCCTCCCCCTCCGTCTCCGCTAACTCGTAGCTCCACGCCCCAAGCTTAGCCGCAGCTCCCAGCTCCCAGCTCCCAGCTCCAAAGTCCAGCCCGGCCCGGCCAAGATACCTTAAATAGACTAAGCCCCTGCAAGCCGTAAGCCATCGTCAGCAGGCTGGCAAGTCCGTCTGTCTGTCCGTCTGGTCTGCCGTCTGCTCTCTGGCAGCCGGGGGATACCCACAGAGTAAAAAAAAAAAAACACACACAACAGCCAAAAGACAACCCGATCCCAAAGGATGTTCGGGGCATTCGGAACCCCGGCTGCCTAGCAGCTTGCTATGTCCCATCATTAATCGGATGCCCCAGCTGCCCATCTCCTGCGAAAAGGAGCAGAGCATCCACCGAGGGGGGAGGGAGGAGAGAAGGGACAACGACGAGCTCGAATTCGGTTTTGCCAAGCGCGTCCAACTCAAAAACAAGCTACAGAAAGTCTTTCCTCGCTCCGCCGACTACGGATATCTAGTTTTACAAACCCAACACACAGCCCCTCGCCCATTTTCCATCGCCATGCGCCGCCTCGTCCCGTCTTTTGGAACCAAATCCCCGCTCCCTCGCGTGAGCCCCCCCTCCCCTTCAGCTCCAGGATGGGATGTCTTCCGTCCTCCCTTGAGAGAACGCACTAGGTGCCTACTAGACGGAGCCAATATGTTTTCCTTCGCAATCCGATGCCCGGCCACGTAGCTGGGAGGGACTAGGCCCGTGAATTCTTTCTTTCGTCATCCTCCAACGGGAAATACCCCCCCTCCCCCTCTACCTACCCCCCCTTCGCTCGTTGGCGCAACACCCAAGCCAGTGCTCCCTCTCTCCCTCTTTGCGTTCCTCACTCACATGCCATGCGATGACATGCCACCACGCCCATGCTGCGCGGGCGGCGGGGTAACCCCGTCCTGAAGGATGGCACCGGAATGGCTTCATGGCGAAAAGCTTCCGCCCTTATCATTCCGAGGGAGAGGGGGGAGGGGGGTGAGAGAGAGAAACAAACTGCACCTGCTGCGGCGGTGATGTGTGTACCGGTATGTGTGTGTGGTTGCATGTCAGCTTTCGCCCAAAACGGCCATGCGAAGAAAGGCTCGACGGCATCCCACACACCCCCTCCCATTCCACTCCCTCCCCTCCTCAACCTTGACGTTCACGGCACCGCGCCGCACAGCCGGCCCCAGGGAGGGAGAGAAAAAGAGCCGGTAGGGGCTGTGCTGCCGAGCACGCCCAGGATAGACACCAAACCCGCATCGACGCCGTTCCGGGGCCGGGAACCAGGCACAACATGGGAGAGGGGAGAGGGGAGGGGAGGGGAGGGGGGCCCTTCTTTGCCTCCGGCCGTGCTGTTCGGCTCCGCTGAGTTTGTCGCCGCTTCAATGCCCCCTCCCCCTCCAGCCTATCAGTAGCTCTCGAGAGACGAGTCTTTTTGCCGAGAGACCGGCGAGACGTCAACATCAGACGTGAGGCATTATGCGTACACCGATGGGCATTATTAAGCCAGCGGTTTTACCTTTTCCCGTCCGGTTACTGTTACCGGGATGCGTGTGTGAGAGAGAGAGAGTGTGTATGTGCGTATGCATATGTTGTACGTGTCTTTGACCACCAGCACACCAGACGGGGATGATGTCAATAATTCTCAATTTCAAAGCGCCAGAAGCTATCGAGGAAGCTTTTTCTATCCATAAACCATCGCCCTGTCATGGCAAAGTCAAGGTGAACCCCCCATCTAAGCATCTCGAAAAAAAACATCGAAAAAAAAAACATACTCCTCCGGTTCACGTCACCGCCCCCCTCCCCAAAGCGCCCTCCCCCGTTCCAATCGCAGCCCAAACATTCACATAGCAACACGCGTACCCCATGGTAAACTGATACATACATCCGGAAAACCTTCCACACAGGCTCAGACACGCACACACACACTGCCCCTCCCCTTCATGGCTGTGACAATGACATCACGGGCGATGATATTTAAAAAAACAAGACCCTGTGAACATTTTATACCACGGCGTACGCCGAGACGTAGCTCACGCTCGAGTCGCCCGGGCCCGTGACCAGGCTGCTGCGCTGGTACTGGATGAACTGGAAGCGGTGCTGCTGCTGCTGCTGTTCCTCGTCGCCCAGCTCCTCGAGCGCCGCCATCGTGACCCCGATCGGGTGGCGCCCGCACACCGTGTTCTTGGTCTGCTTGAGGTTGTCGTAGAAGGCGCTGTGCCGGCCCGTCTTGATGGCCTCGATCGCCAGGTCGTCCACCAGCTTGATGCTCTCGTGGATCGGCGGGCCGTCGGGCGCGGGCCCGTAGGGGGGGAGCTTCTGCATCTTGGTCACGTCGCCGTCGGGGCAGTAGACCGTGTAGTCGAAGTGGCTGCCCCAGTGGCAGAAGTCGGAGCTCACGATGAAGGCGTTCTCCGGGTCCCGGAGGTACTCGGCCAGCCACTTTCCCACCTCCTTCTCCTCCGCCTTGTTGTTGTCGCCGACGAGGATGGGCACGACCGGCGGGAAGTTGTCCGGGGAGCCGAACGTCTGCTCGAGCCGGATCCAGAGGTAGGGCAGGTGCATCTCTAGGGAGTGCTCCTTGTTGTCGTTTACAACCGGGATCTCGGGGATGTTGTGCTCGTCGCGGAGGCGGGACACGATCTGCCGGTCCACCTTGAGGCTTCCCCACGGTGTGCCGTAGTTCGAGTACCCGGAGACGGCGCAGCCGGCGAGGTAGAAGGTGTGCGAGGGTCCGAGGAGGAAGACGCGCCTCGCCCGGCTCAGGTCGAGGGCCTTGTAGGCCCAGGCGGCGGTCGCGCCCGAGTAGCTGTAGCCTGCGTGGCTGTTCACGTAACCAATGTCAGCATGGGAAGGCTTGTTTTCTTGTCGTGTCTTTATGGCGCTACGGGGCGAGCTGGAGAGAGAAGAGGAATGGGGAGACTGACGGGGCGATTATGACGCGGGCGCCGGGGACCGGAAGCCCTTGGCCGTCGATCTGGTCCGGGACGTCGGAGAGGAAGTCGTCCAGCTGGACGCGGAGGAGCTTGGGGTCTCCCTCGTACCACGAGCCTGCCTTGCCCGGACGGCGCGTGTCTCGTTGCGACATGGTATGAGGAGGGGTTTCTTTCTATGGAACTCGTTTGGGGCGAACGTTTTTAAACAAGAGAACTGGTGTAGTGACAGGAAGATGCTAGATGTCTACAGATTATAAGTAGTTGTTGAAAAGAGAAGGGAAGAGAGATTGGCATGAAGCTTGGTGACGCTCTCCTGCCCCGCACCAAGGTAACCAGGAAGCTTCGGGCGGGAGCAGCTTATGAGGGGCCGGAGGGGTAAGACTTCCCCACACTGGCTGGCGCATCATTCCCGGCTGGGTTTGTTGGCGCCCGTGGGCCGGGGCCGAACCAACAGGAAATAGAAGCAAGTCTTCATCATTGGCATTCGCTTGCGAGTTACACTTCAAGTTCCACTAGCTTTGGAAACTACTCACTGGTGCAAATTGTATTCTTCATGTGTTGTTTCCCAACCGTTTTGAGTCGTTCAAAGGGGAGGCACAGGAAATAGTAGGAAAGCTTTTGAGAGCTTCGGGTTGCAATGACGTGCATCAGGGCGGTAAAGACCCGCCGTCTAAGCGCTTGGTCCGCAGGCATCTTTATTCTATTCGCTCCCGCTTGGGAAAGTGTGAAGTGTGTGGGTTCCGAGTCCGTTTCTCGAGGTTGATGTCTCCCCTTCATCTATAACAACGAAGCGCTAATATAGTTCACAGGTCAACGCCACTTTATTTAGGATGATGCAGTCCTTTCAAGAGTCCACCCAAGATCCTGGCATAATCGACTGCGGCCGTCCAACACCTTCCCAGAACTCGGCGGCAAACGCCTCAAACTCGGGCGCCCACCATAGCCGCCAGTCCCTCAGTCGCGGCCCGTAATCCAGCCCGACGATGCGGACAGGCAGCCAATAGAGGTCGCTTCTCGGGTGCTCGTCGTCCACCATCTGCATCCACGACTCTCGCATCCGCAGAGAGCTCCGGACATGCCTGCGCGAGGCGGCTATGGCATCGGCGTCAAATGCGCCCTTGATCTCAGGCGCCGTATACTTGATCTTGAGAGCCTCGGCCCTGCCGTACTGCAAGAGGTCGACGTCGGCGTCTCTGAGGTCTCGCAACCACTGGTTGAGCACGCCCCTGAAGACGGCATCCCATTTGCCCCACGGAAGATCGGGCGAGATTCGACAGAGGGCGCCGCCGAGGACGGAAATCAGCGGCGTGCCCGTCCACACCGGGACGCGGTACCAGTCCCAGGGAACGACGGTTTCCAACCCGTTCAGCTGCTTCCACTCGGCGGCTCGGAGGGTCTCGGCGAAGGTGTAGCTCCAGCCTTCGGTCCATGCCCGGAACCGCACCATCAACACCCTGCGCCCCTCCGACTCACCATCGTCTCCTTCCACCGACGCATCTTCGTCGTCGTCGTCGCGGCCGAGGCGCGGGTTGAACTGCATCTCGTGCGCGAACCGCTTCCCCAGTGCGGCTGCGGCGGAATGCACAAGCGAGAACCCGGCCTCGGCGGACGCGCGCACGTCATCCTTCGTGATCACGCCTTTCTGGTTCAGCAGCCTCCGGTACACGGAGACGTCCTGCGTCGTGAAGGCGCCGAGGCGGGTGGCCTCTGCCCTGTCTCGCAGGGGAAGGTCGTGATATCCAGGGAGAAAGTTGCGCTGGAAGATGCGCAGCCAGTCGTCAGAGTAGGAGCATTCCGTCTGGAAGTCGAGCATGCGCTCGATTGTGAGGGTTGGGATATTGGCGCTGCGGGACTGAAAGAGGGAGACTAGAGCGTGGTGGGCTGAGTCGGGTGTTGGAGCGAGACTTTCTCGAGACTTTACGAGTTCGCTAAGCGGGCTCCTTTTTCGTTATCTGGTTAATTATGGCGCTACCGAAGGAGACCAGAAGAGGGAAGGGGGAGCTGACTCTGATGACCCGCCGTTGTCGTCTATCAGATCTTCAAGGCCGAGGTCGAGTAATGTTCGACATACTTCGACTTGCCTGTAGTCTGTGGCATACTGCATAACTCTTAGTCTGGGAATTCCCACATGTCCCACGGCTTTTGAGACTTACATATAATAGGTTTGAACCCTTCTCGTCTCTATCGAGTGGCGAAGCCTCCCCTTTACTGAACATAGCCATCATACCTTTCACGTCGCCCTTCTTCACAACTGCGAAGATGGCGCTGTGTTTCGACCTCACACTAAAAGATCGTAAACTCTGCTGCCAACCCCCTGTCATGCTCCAGCAGACCTGTATCTCCCAAACGGCTCCCGATATCCAATCAGGAAGCTGAAGGGACAGGCCCCATTCGCTTCGGTCCTTGCGGGAGGCCGCCGCGACCTGCCCCGTTGGCGTCGGCTTGTACGAGGGCAGTCTTGGACCCCTCCATGTTGTTCTTGAACGGACGATGACGTACTCCGTCTCATTCTCGCCATGTAATCCCTGGGGCCTCGGGGTCTGAAGCTGTTTTTCTATGTTTTTCAACTGGGTTGATACGTCTAGCGAAACCCTTCGTACTATTCTGTCTTCAAAGTCTCGGTGTAGTAGCTTCTGCTCGTTGACGACTTTCGCGGCCGTCTTTTCGGCGATCCGATCTTGAGAAGCTAGCATAATTGCCCTGCCATGCACAACCATGAGTAAATGTCATTGGAAAGTAGGAGTGGAATGTGGTCTCATCCATACTGACCTGTCGTAAGCTCCGATACACATCAGCACCAGCCCCACCGCCGAATCCAGCCTCCTCTCTAGCTTTTCCAAATCGCCCTTCCTTAACGCTGCCCACGCAAGTCTCATTTTCCTCCTCGTCCGACTCTGCAAGCTCTGCTGCGGCAACGTCTGCAGGCTGGACTGTAACTTCCTCACCATCTCGTCCACGGCTCTGCGCGCCTTGTCGGCGTAGACAACGCATGCCCTGACGTGCTGAGCAGGCAGTTCCAATTCCGATTCTCCATACTCTTCTTCGCACCTCGAAAGCTTTTCGACCATATCCTGCAGAACCGGACCGAAGGCTTCGAGTCGGTCGACGGCGTCATTGAGATCTAATGGGAGGTCTTCGATCGAGTGCCATAAACGGACGGCCTTGGAGATGCCGATGCAGAGTTGGCCGAGGGCTATGCCGCTCGCAACAGCGCCGATGACTTCCATGAGGGGAAACGGCTGAAAATGAGAAAGTCTAGAGAGACGCCGAACACGCAGGGAGTCATGGATGGGGTGACTTGTCGAAGCTGTCTGGATAACGAAAGCAATGGAGATGGAGGAGGCAAGCAAGGAAATCTATTCCCGTAACCTCGTGGGACTGCCAGCAGACAACCAGCAAGTCTAGAATGTCCAAGAGCGATTAAGAATACCTGAAGAATCGGCCCATCGACCCCTGTTACACAGCCCTGTGGCACAGTATCGCGGACGGGACGGGCCTGGAGTCTCGGCGGCAAACTGCATGTTGTTGCATGGGTTGTGGCCACTCAAGGCCGGGGCTCGAGGGGCGGCCGGACTAGCAATCCAATCAACAGGATCCTGATGTGCCACTCGGGGGAGATGCAGTTTGCGTCCCCGCAATTGACTGTGTCTTAAACGAAAAGCTCTCGAAATGGCCATTTAGTTGGTTCTGGAGTTGATGTGACCATTGTAGATGACGATACGATGCGGCCCAAGTTGAGCGACGGTGTAGAATTACGAAGGTAATAACTGTCTACTGCTATTGATTAAAGTGCCGCAAACTGAAGATAGTGGCTAGACCGGGGGCCGAATCTTGCGATACTCGGACCAAATCAACAGCGTGCTTTCATTCTCCAGCCACATATCTCCTCTGCGCCTTTCTTCCCGTCTAAAATCATCGTGATCCCAAGGTTCGTCCACCCAGCCCCCTGGCATCTTGAAATCCTGATTTTCGATCAAATCCCAGAATTCCCCTGCATAATCTTCGTACTCCCAAGTCCACCAGAGTTTCCACTGCTCCGGCCGAGAGCCATAGGTAAAACCAAGGAGGGAGAGCCGAACTATTCCTGACAAACATACCCACCGCACGCATCGTCGTCTATACCACGTGGAACCCTCATCGCATAGTTGTCTCTCCTGGCGTCCATAACTCAGAAGGTCAACGCCGCAATCGGCCAACATCGCGATCCAAGCGGTGAATACTGACCCCAACCCTGTCGCAAGCCGTCTAGCATTTTGCTGCCCAAAGAGTTTCGGACGTGAGTAGATTCCTGAGTCGAGAAAAGACCACAGAAAAGAAAATAATGGAGAGGATTCGATGAATCCATAGTCATAGAACCAAGTAGGCTCGAGGCGATACAAGCTTATAGAATCTTGGCGAATACATGAGTCGATGAGTTTGCTCCACTGCTTCTTCTCCTCAAGCCTTTGCTCACCATCCGGGCGATTCACCCATATTTTCAATTTTCGTGAGAATAACAAGGTAAATGAATGAAGAAGTGAATGTTCTTCCTCCACAGAAAGCTTGATAATTTCATCAGTGAGCTCTTCAGTCTCCGGGATGATCTGTTTGATCTCATCTGGGCTCCAGTAGCTACCGCTCTCTGCGAGGCCCCTCAGGCCCCAAAGTCTTGTCCTGATAGGTAATAAAGCATAACCGAAATCATTACGGTTGAGAAAAGCCCGAAAAGCAGGGTAACTGGCACCTTGCCCGAGTAGAACCCCGATTTTGTCCGCATGGTCGAGAACATCGTCTAGACCGTGATCTGCGAAAAGCTCGAGGAACTGAAGGTCTCGAGGTCTGGAGCCGGGAACGTTCAACACAGGCAAATCACTAAGTAAGAGAGGCATACTAATGTAGAGTGTATATTAGATCTTGCTTTTTATGTTTCACTGGTATGAACTAACCTAGTTCTTGTGCTGACTGGCTCGCTTACGTAGCTACCAAGACCTCGTTCTAGAAGCAGTTTTGTCGTTGTGAAAGCCTGGAATATCACACAAAACTTGACGATGGGATCATAAATTAGCCAACCTGATTTCAAAATTCTTTTTGGATTTGGTATACTCACCTGAAGCAAACTCATACCGTCCCGATCGCGTATATGGAGAGTGATTTTATTCTCATCCAAGCATCGAAAGAAGCCAAGATAATCGTCCCTTTCAACACAGACATACAATTCTCCGGGAAAATCTTCAGTCAATTCATACGCTCTTAGATTCAACTGCCACCCTTGGATGCTCCTTTGTGCTACTATTGAGTACAAAGTTCCACTGAGCCAAGTTGGCGTGAGAACAGAGAATTGGAAACTGGAGTTGGCACCAAAGCCAAAGCGGAAGGTGGGTAAAAAAGAGTTTGAGTATGGCATGTCAACGGCGTTTGCTACAGTAGAGTGAGCATAACTGGGCTTTCTCCTTTTGATTATGTTTTGTTTTTCTTCGTCCACCTCGAATGAATCGCTGTTCCCAATCAGTGATTGACCTGGAATTTTCGTTGATCTTGGCTGCTCTTGTATGAAGGTCGTGCAAAAGGTTGACATTGCCCTGTAACTACTATTAGAAATGTATATGATGAGCACTCTAAATTGCACTTACACCAAGTACTGTGTCTGTGTTATCGACAAAAGATACAGTGACGAGTCGAGGCTTTTTTCCAGAGCATTCCATTCGTCCTTTCGAAGGAGCACTTTGGTCGATGCAAACTTCCGCTTGAAGCCCCTTTGATCAGCATTGACCTTGGCCTGCAAGTGGTCGACCATCTCTTGGACGTCGGTCAGCGCACGTCGGGCTTTGGCGATGTGTTTCTGCAAGCGAGCCATATCGTAAACTGCTCTGGGGAGCTGGTTCTTGGCTATTTGACTTTCGATATCGTCGAGAAACTCTTCGAGGTCCTTGATCCGTTCGGCCTTCTCCAGAAGCATGACCGGGACTTCCTTGACTTCGTTCCAGAGCCGCATGAGCTTGAACGAGGCGCTGCCGGCCTTGCCTGTCATATCGACGACGGCGATAATGCTTGCCGCCAAGCCGAGTGCTTCCGCCATTTTTACAATGTGGTCTACTCTTCAACAGGTGTCCTCTTCGAAGAGATGAGGTACAGCAATAGTGGAGTTGAGTGATGACGGTTGCAAGGAGGGTGACAAGATTGGGGGTGAAGGTGGGTTTTCAGAGCTTCGCGAATTCTCGAGCGTGATGATAAGAAAGAGGGGTCTTTGATGCGGATTCTAAAATGACAGTTGGTGTCCTTGAGGCTGTGTCGAAATCATTGGCCAAAACCACTCGCCATGCAAGCGACTGCATCTCGATTGCTGATTCGTCTGCCCGTCTGCATCGCCACCATATGAGTGTGGCTGTAGCTGGCAGGTCACCAAGACAACTGATGGGTGCCCGGCGGAGAGCCTTATCAGGCGCGACTGAGATGGCGAACACTAGGCGGATTGGTCCGCCAGGGCAGCCTGGTACGAGGAGTATTTTGCGTATAAGTGGCTTACTGTGAAGCCTGCATTTTATCCCTCGTGCCGACATCGGAAGCACGTTGAGCTACGGTAATAGTAATCTTGAAAATACAAGTGGATGATGGAAAGTGAAAGTTTGATATCTAGTGATTGTGTCGATAATATCCACAGGACTGGAAAGATACTTATCCAAGACGGCGAACAAACTGGTCAGTGGTCTTATAAAGTATTTACCTCGCACAAAGGAGAAAGCCCCAGCCCGGCAACTAAGAACGGAATTGTAGCGCGTACCCGAAGAAGACTGACATGCAAAAGATAGAAAATAATGGTGTAAATTCATTCAAGGATATTCGAATTGCCGCAGCTTGTCCTGGGGGCGGTTCTTGGCAGTCAGAGGAACATCAGGGATGTACCAGTTCTGTAATCTTGCCCTATTGAGATATGAGCGAAAAGTCCCGAAGGGCTGATCATGGATTAGAATCAGAATAGGTAATTAAAAGAGAGCAGACAAGTCGAACAGCCTCGAATTTCCTCATTAAAAGGACGCGTGTGAGACACAGGCAGGAGGACGCTGCAGAGTCCAAATGGAACTATGATAACTTTAGATGCACATCTAGTAAGCGCCAAGTAGATTATACACCAGCTGAAAGACAAGCCCAGGCCACTCCAATTTACAATATGGGCATTTTGTCTGTTCATCAAGCACACGCAAGCTGCCTATAACCTGCAGCCTGATCCGATCAATGACGTAAGATGCCGTTAGACCATGGCTTTGGGGGTAAGGCAGCAGCATAAGCACCCGATTGAATTACTAGATTCGTGTTTATGGTTACACCGCGTCTAGCAATCTGCAGGTTGTAATCAATATTAGGTCTGCGGTCCCCAACTCCCCAGCAGCCTAACAAGGGCCATGTCAGGGCTGTGCAAGATAGTGATGTTGAACAGTTATCAACCCATTTAAGAACATGATTAGCATCGAGGGTTAACAGGCTGGCAGCAGATTCCTCCATTCAATTCATTGGAAACATCCAGAACTTCTTGTATCATTACAGGCATAGCCAATTTAACAATCACTCTTAGTGGATTCGAGTGTATTCCAATGGCCTCGACACAATATGAAATTGAACTACGTCAACCTCCCGGTGTCGCGCGGGTACAGCAGGCTCATAATTTTCCAAGTAGTACGTCATCACCTGCAGACGTAACCCATAACGGAGACCCCCGAGGCCACCGCAAGACGCCCTCAGCGACTGGGCGACCCAACGATGACGAAACGACCATTGATGCGCCACTGCTTTCGCGTCAAGCAAGATCTCCAGGGGCCATTGAAGGAGACAGTTGGGGTTACGAGATCAATCGGGATGGCAAATATGATCAGTCAAGCAGTCCAGCGGAGCATACGCAATGCGATGGTGCAGGACGTGGAACGAGCTATCGAGAAGACCAGCAAGCTACGAAGTCAACACTACCCGGCGTAAACAAGACCGCCAAAGTACCAAAACAAATCACTCGAAGTAGCTGGACTCGTCACCTTAATGGATGGGTTGTTCATATACCTGCCATAGTGACGACTGTTGCTATCCTATGTGTCGGCTCTATAGGGTTCTATTGGTATCCAGAGGAGGGGCCTCTCGTAATGGGTTATCGTGTAGATGCCGATACCATCAGCAACGTTCTCCAACTTGCGGCCAAGCTACACGAGCTCCTCATTGTGGCATCGCTGTCTTCCATCGCACTATCCATGTTTCGACGGTGTTTGGTGACAAGTGGTGTTCGGTTAGGATTTCTTACGGGCGGCTATCGAGTCGGTGACCTTGGGTACATCTGGACGACAGCATTCCGGCGCCAAGGTCTTGATACCACGAGCCTCTGGGGTATACTGCTCCCGGGGTTTGTTGTCTTCGCTACCATCCTGTCAACCGCTGTCGGGCCAGCATCTGCTGTATTGCTTGTGCCAACTCTCGGCTGGTACAAGATCGACAACTCGATTGCATTCGGAAACATCACGCTCCCCCTGAAGTATGCGCGGAACAGTGAAGACGTTTGGCCGCCGGACCGGCGCGATGCACGTTCAGAATGCAAGACGGTTAAGGGCATATACATTGACTACTGCACAGCAGGAGGTTTCCCACAGATATCGAGCTGGCTTCTGGATTTCGCAGCCACGGACCTGACGAACAGCCTTACATTTCATTCCACGTCAGCCGATCTGCGACGACACATTGTTTTTACCCACGTCAACGACACCGAGAGCACCAACTCAACCACGCTGTTAACCACTCCTCCACATTTCCTTACGGGTAGCATTGGCCTGTTCGAGAAGTTCATCCATAGCTACAATGTGGGCGCGTTGTCAAGCGAGCCTCGTTACAGACTCAACACCACAAGAGCAAACCCTGAGAACTCACAGGAAGAGTCGATACTGTATCAGCCATTTGTGCAGTCGACATGCAGGGTTCATGACAAGCATACGTTGATTCAAGACAAGCAGCCTGTCTTTTATCCTGTTGAATCCCTCAACTGCTTCCATGATGATGACTGTGAAAATTCTCAAAGGAATTCTGTCCCATTCGACGACAGTTGGCTGACGGACCCGGATCTCGACGTTGACGTGTCAATTTCCACAAGTTTCTTGATCAACAAAGAAAAATCGTCCATTCTTTTCCTTAACGGACAGATCCCAGATGATTCCTCGGGCGAATCCAAGGACATGGTCTTCCTGTGCAGCCTAATCGGAAGCTGGGCTCCGTCGCACTTCTCTGTCGACGCCAAAGTCAGTGACGTACTGCAATCTTCTCTTAGCCAAAACAGCACGATGTCAGAGTTGTATCGAAATACTTCCACGGTTGACGTCCGCACCCTGAGGTTCTCCAGGGATTGGTTAGACGCTCTAACCCCAAGTTGGTATACCACCAACAAAACCAATATTACGGCGCTGCAACAGCTTGTTCAAACTTTCTCCTCCACGGAGAGGCATAACGGGACTACCATGCCTGTCTCAGCACCTTTCAGCCCCGACAATAAGACCGGGGCAGAAATGTTTCTGAGCAAGGTATTCGGCGTTTATCTCACCGAGGGTCTTGCTCAAAGCACCACTAAACACCAGAAGACGCGTGTAGTTCTGAACAGTAGCAGCGACGAGTTTGCGTATATCAACCTCAACGAGCAGCACGGCTTTCGTCGCGGAGAACACAGGGTGACCCCCTTGAGTTCAACTCGTCGTCTCGACAGATGGCGGGGCAAAGACAGACGTCTCAAGGGAACCTTCAATGAGTTTAAGGCAGATTTCCGGAAAGATCTGCCCATATACATCGTCGCTGAGCGCCACGGGTATGGATCTGGCCAACAACGTCGCACGTTGCACTGGGCCCAAGCTACGATGGGCATCTACCTCGGCACCGTGGCCATCTATGCATTGGGGGTGGGTGCCATGAGTGTCCTCGAGTTCTTCGAATACGAGCCAGGAGGGGTGCGGGTTCGCGTTTTAAGCATCGTACCATGGTCGGACCTCCAAGACCTGATGATACTCGCGCTGAAAACGCCAGTCCCCAGCGACGAGGATTTGGCGGATGCTGGAGCGGGTGTTACCTCGAGCCGAGTTTGGAAGAAGACTGTTCGGGCTGGAGCAGACGACGAGCGCAATGCGCAATTGGTGCTTGGAGAGACAGAAACCACGAGAAGATTAGACTTGGATGGTCGAGAGCGGTATTATTAGAGTCAAACAAGCCGTTGTATTTTCATTGTACCCTGGAAATTTACAGATGTAAATCATTGATCGTTCGTTGTACACGATATTGAAACATCCTGCTTGTCTAAACGGTTCCACCCAGCTCTTCTCTTTTGCATATCCCCTCAGTTCTCATGCCAAGAAAAAGATGTATTTTGCAAAGCATTAAATGGTGTCAGAAATGGTGATTTTTGTATGCGTTCTGTTAGTGTTTGGTCATTATATGGCATTTGCTATACAGACGTTACACACACCAGGTTAGCTAACATGAAAACACATGGATAAAAGTTGAGAAAAAGGGAAAAAGATTCATCAATATTGTTAGTTAGTTAATTAGCTATAGTTCCTGGCTTCTCCAAATGTGGTAACACAGTAAAAGAGAGCAATCCAAGTAAGACAAAGGGATAGAAAAACATAAGAAAACCCTTCAAAAGCTCTACCAATAAAACCACTCTGCACTCTATTCGATTTCCATCAGTGGAGCCATGAAATTCTTGGCTCTCGATTGATTAATCATATGGCGTGATATGCGGTCTTCCTTCTTGATCACGTACCCCTGAATGTTGACTTCCTTGCTCTTCCACTTTGGTTGGAGCCTGTTGCAGTCCCCCTTTTTCGGTTCTGGGATGGGCACCAGGGAGCCTGGTGTGTAGTCAGGGCGCTCACTCATGCGGTAATAAACAGAAGGATGGATCATCTCCTTTGTGTCACTTCCCTCTCGGAACTCGTCTTTGTAGTGGCCTGGCGTCCTGTCGGTATACGTGAAGGGTAAGAGCTTCAAGAAGAACACGAAGATTCCAAATATGTAGAAGCTCTCAAAGATTTTGAAGACGTCAATGATATCTCCGGTGCCCCAGATATCGGCTCCACCGTTATTGTTTGTGGTCGCAGGTGCGAGAGATGCCACTGACTGCAACTTTCGCCGTAAAAATCCGAGTAGGCCCGAGTTTCTTTTCTGATCCAAGCCGAACATCAGGTAGTTGCGTGCTTCGATCTCGCGATTGGCAAGGCTCGAGAAGCTGTCTGGTTTGCCTTCTACCTTCCCGTCGTCGAGGCCGATAAACGGCGCGATTTGATCGCACATCCAGGCGAAGGTGATGAGAGCGATTTCTGTTTGGGAACTTGCGGTCAGCGGCCCTGTGCGTCAGCCACGTACGGAACGAGCTACTCACGTTCGAAATCATATGAAAGGCCAACCAGGCTGGTCGAGTTGCCTCCTCCGATGTTGACATGGCCACCGGGAAACCAAACCTGGCGCAATTCAGGTGTGAAGTCTTTTGGATTCTTCGCCATGTGGACCTTGACCACGTCATTCCACGCATCATTGAGGTCTTGCTCAGTCGGTTCTTTTTTGATTCTACCATTGGCAAGGTCTTCGAAGTAGTACTTGACCTGATCCTCATTGAGAGACTTGTAGCTCTCCAAACCTTGCTCCTCTTTTTCATTCTCTTCTGCGTTCGGGAGGTGCCAAAGAGTAGGTTTAAAGGGCGCCATATGTTCATCAAGAGCCAACGCGTGAAATGCATGCTTGGTGTCTGAACTCATAAAATTAGAGCTGGTCAGCAAGGCCGAAAATCCATGCACAATCTAGTGCTATAAACACGACATGAACGTACAGTTGCTCAAGGACGTTCTGTGAAATCCTTGGTAATCGATACCAATCCATGGGAGGCGTAAGGCGATGAAGTTGAGAAGCCCTTGGACCCAAAAAAGGCCAGGAACTCCCAAGGCACCAACAGTGTCGAAGACGCCCTCGACTTCTATGACTCTGCTCGATTCCGGAGGGAGGCTGTGTCCTTTTCTAATCTGTTGCCCTCCCTCAAATTTGCCGGTGATCCACTCTCTGTAGGCCGTGGTCTGGCGGAAGGTTGGGCCGTCTTTAACGCGGTACTGCCGGTGTAGTCTGTATAGGTCCGGAAAATCGTTCATCTCTTTGGGCTGAATGATGCCAATGTCTGTGATGAGACCCGCCACCGCACGAGCCGTGAAGGCGCCCCGGGAGAAGCCGAAGCAGCAGATCTGATCCCCCGGGGAGTAGTTCATGACAATGAAATTGTAGGCTTTGATGACTTCGGCGACAAGGCCGTCGCCGAAGACGGCCTGTCTCAGATTCTCAAGTAAGCTGACGCCAGCACCCGCGCCGATGCCTGAGCCGTAGTACACGATCTGAGGACAAGCGAATTCCTCGTCGACATCTTCTGTCGTTTCAAACTCATTCCCAATCTCGTTTTCAATCTGGTTTTCCTTCTTCTTCTTCATCTTCCCAGTGCGCGCAATGGAACGAGCAAGCCGTGTGACGTTGGAGGGAATGCCCCACCGCCCGTTCACGGACGACTGCCAGGTGCCATCGCAGCATATGATGATGCGCTTGGGAGTAGGCGGAGGGAGCTTCTCTTCCTCCGAGTCTTCCTCCGGCGCCTGACCGTAGTATCGACGACGTGGGTCTACTGCAAGTGAGAAATACTGGGCGCCGCTGGCTGGAGAGCCGTAATCCAAGGGGACGGACCCTGGGGGCTTTACTTCGAAGGACGTCCAGAGGTCCGAGGAGTTGGGGCTCAAATTTGTCATCTTCTTAGAAAGTGGAAAGGTGAACGTTGAATGATGACATGTGCTGGCCTGTGCCTTGGCGAGGACTGGGCAATATCAGCGGAGTGGCTTCGGGTTCTTATAGAAGACGGGGTCTATTGTTAGCCTCGTCTTCTGACTTGTGCTGCTATGCGATTTGATTATTGTCTTGGTACTTGGTTTTTGGACCAACTTTTGGTTTAGTGGTATTCAGCTGGGGCTGACTCAGGCGGAATGGAGGAGATGCTTTTGGTTAACAGCACCGCATGTGGCATAGTACCTGGAATGAAGTTATGCCAATCTTACAACCGGAGGGAAAAACATATATTTCAGCTGGGATTTCGGTCGGTAAAGCCATGAGTCAAGGTCTCGGTTGAGATGTGTGGTAAAGAATGAAACCAAGCCGCATGCAAATGGAAACTCCACGAGCTGTGTTGAGACACTAAGCTAGGTAAGACAGGTAGGTAATGGAGACCTAGCGATCAGTTCGAGACTACTATCCCGTCAACTCACGCTAAAAGTCGATGCATGTATCTTACTTCGCAGTGCATGTTGCCAGTCGCGGTTCTCGCGTCCGTGAAATCCTATTAGAGAAACCGTTACCGTGGATTTGCGACGTTTAACCAAAGCAAACACGAAGCTTTACAACGTTGGAGAGGTCTTCCTAACCATAGGGCAGCCGGAAATACCAAGGTACATCGTCCACAGAGATACACAACGGCAACAAGGAATACGACGGTACGCCAAAGCCAGCTCGCTGGATCCGGGCACACACCAGTTGGTGATAGGTGGGCGCATGATGATCAGAAATGACAACTCCGTGTCATTGGCCGAGACCGAGATTGGGTGGCCGATAGCGGCAACTATTCCCTCCCACCCTCCCCACCGAACGCAAACTCAATCTTCAACCTTATAGTCAAACAAATGCGAGCCGCCTCACTGGAAGAAATACGAACAAAATAGGTCATGTAGCCTTTTGTATCTACTCTATCAATCCTGTATACAACAGAACCGGGCGGCACCCATTTCCATACGGGGGCACCGAATCCATGATTTTACGCAGACATTGATCTGCCCAGTCAGACAACACCCGCTATACAGCTGGCCCCTCCTCGCACCTCTTGCACCCGCACTCGAAGCCCCAATTCCTCCTCAGCGTCGACATCCTCGTCTCCCTCGGCATCGCCTTCTCCTCTCCGCCCAGGTAGGTGATGCACAGCTGCTCCCCCTTGCCGACGTCCCTCGACGCGCGGAACTCCCACGCGCGGCCCTCGCGCCTCTTGTTGACGTTGGGGCCGCACGAGTGGTTGAAGTAGCTGGCAGCGGGCCAGCAGCCGTGCCCGAAGAGCTCGGACCCCTCGTCCTCGAGCGACCGGATGCCGAAAGCGTTGTGGCTGTCGCGCGAGGAGAGGGTCAGCAGCGACTGCGGCGTCGTGAAGGGGAGCAGCTGCGGCGGGAGGACGGCGAGCAGGTGCAGGTAGGTGCGGGTGAAGGCGCGCAGGTCGTCGGCGCTGGAGTAGGGCGTCGGGTCGACGGCCAGGGAGAGTACGTGCTCCCACCTCTGCGGGGCCTGGTACTGGGCGATGATGCCGCTGACGCAGAAGCCCATGATGTCTGCGTGGACGGGTTGTTGGAGCGCCTTCTGGACGGCTTTGCGATGCTGCTTTGTGATCGGCCCGTTGCCGTTGCCGTTACCGTTCAACGTCAGGTTCCGCGGTCCGCCTTCGACGTCGTTTGCGAGCTCCGTCATTCTGAACGTCAGTATCAGATCCGCCTGCGTCTTGGTAGCGTCCCATGCTTGCGCAATCTCCTCTGGGGTCGGTCGCGGCAAGTCAATGTCCACCAGCTCGCTGTCCTCTTTGCTCTTCCTCTTGGCCAGCTTCTTCACCTCGGCCCAGGCCCGGACACCTACCTCACCATTCTCTTGCCGCCACGTCCCCTGGCACTCGTCCGAGCAGAAGGCGAAGCCCACGATGTGGTCCTGGATTCTCAGGTCTCTGCCGTAGTTGTAAGCAAAGCACTGCCCGCAGACCTCACGCCTGTACTCCTGCAGGAGGGAGGACACGGTGAGGTCGTCTGAGCGCCATAGCAGGGTGTTCGCGGCGATGTCCCTGGCGGCGAAGACGGCGCGGCCGGCCGTGGGGGTATCACAGATCTCAAAGTGCACAGAGGTGGCAGCGCCCGAGAGCAGCGGCTTTGGTTTGCCGTCAAATGTTGCTGCTAGAGAGGGAGCGGACGAGGCGGAGGACGGCCTCGAGGGACTCGATGCTGGGTAGTCCGTCAGTATCGTCGAAGCGTCGCTGTCGGTGGAGTCCATTGAGAGTGATTCCAGGTCAGCCGTGGCTTGTGAGCCCAGTTGCTTTTGTGTTGGAGGATCAATTGGAACTCTACGATGAGACGAGTTGAAGAACTACGGCTTCACATTAGAACATTGGGTGACTGGGGTTGATCGAGGCTCCTCGGAGGCACCTACTGATGATGTAGGTGTCAAGGTCCAAAGGCGCGTGGGTGAGGGTCTGTGGTCAGCTTCTTATATCACAGATAAGGTTGTTGAGAGTAAAAGTTTCAACGGATGCCATGCTGCAGCTCTGGTTCCTCTAGAATACGGTTTGTAAGTAGCCAGATGAAGAGTGAACCGAGTGAGAGAGTCGGTGAGGCCGGCGGCCAGAATACCTTTAAATATTGTGGGTGGGTCAGGACCCTTAAAGTCGACGACTCCGGACTAGTGCGTGGCGGCAATTTTGTGATAAGCAAGCGGCGACAGCATGTGAATCGGAAATTTTCCTTCGCATTGACGTGAATTATTGGTCCAACATGCTTTGTAGTCTGACATGACTGGGTCTCCCACAAGATCCTCAACTCAAGTTGGTATTCCTGTAGCGTTAATTGCTACTTGCTTCTATCATGCCCTCGAGTACCCGAATCGCCGTTCGGCACGATACTTTTTCTGTTATCAGACCCTTGAACGCCTAGTCCATGTGTCCGGTGTCTCGTTACCAGGTGTCTCGGCTTCCCACTTTTCTTGTCCCTGCACTGCAGATTAGCCAACCCTGGATCATCTGGCTGCCACGTTCCTCTCGGACAACTGTGGGGAAAAGATGGGGTCAATCGGTGTTCAAAAGCTGGCTGCCCTTGGCCGATGGGATCTGGGTAAGGGCAGTAATGTCTTGGATGTCGAAGAGCCGGTGAAAAGGGGTCTATTGGTAACGCCTAATCTGGATGCACGATCAAGTGCAGTCCAATGCAGTCCCAATATGAAACAGCTGCGATAAGAGCTGACGAGCAACGTACTTACACCTTGGACGTGGACGGGCACGATGTCAGCAGCGTCCGGGACCATGTAATTCAGCAGGTCGAGGCACTTCCGGTATGCTCAATTGAGAAGTATAACTTCACTTTTCCCACTGCCTGACGTGCTCTGGTTGGTTGGCTCTGTTTGACTTTGTCTCTACCGTTCCGCCTTTGGCGGTTCCTGCATTTTATAAACCTTGCAAGCGACAGCCGATTGCTCGCACGAGTCGGAAACCTCATTCGTCATTTTGCTGTCAACATCCCTCCTGCACTATCGAGTTTCTTTTTGTCCACTTGGCTATAAAGCTCTAGTCCAGCAACCCCACCCTTCCACGGTCTCCATAGCGTCATTGGACATTAACCCCAACCCTAACCCTAACCCTACCCTATTGAGAAAGTGGTTAGTCAAACAACTACAAGACTCAGAAGAAGTAGCCAGCTACGTGCACATAGGACTTAAGGAAAGTTATATACAGTAGTAAATAATATGTCCGAGAAATTTAAACAGAAATTAAACAACTAGGTTCTAGTGACAATATAAGGAGTCAAGAAGTGTCTAAAATAAATAAATACATACTGCCTAGAGCTTAGATACATAGGTTGACAACTATGATAGGCTAAGTAGGTAAATCTCAATATATCTATAAAAATATAGTATCTACAAGTGTAGGTCACTGCAGAGTAGGAAGCTATAAGTGTAGCATCTGTGCTGACTCATCCCTCCCTGCTACCACGTGACAGACAATGTGTATAAAGAAAGGCTACGAGAGATATGCGTCGTCTCTCGACGCAATCCCCTACAAAGATTCCATCCATTACGCATAGGCGTAAGAGAAAACGCTCGTAGAGAGCTTTCGGAATGTTGTTAGAGATTGATCTCGAACGCCGGCCTGTACATTACGTCATTCAACCGCGATGGAAAACCAAAGCCTCGGAATGATCCAGATCGTCGAAACCGAACTCTGGATTCTGCTGATTAGCTAGCTTCACCTACCTGGGGCAACAGGAATGTGTTCTAATGGTCGGAGAGCTACGACGGCTCAACATGAGCGTTTTGCATCTTGACATTGTGCCGTAGGCACGATCAGTACGGCTGCAACAACTCTCTTAAGACGGGCTGAATAGGCGTCGTGGCCTTGAGGCTGATGTTGAATGAATTTGGATTGGTTCTTGAAATCCTCTGGTATTATCCCGTGATATAACGCCAATGCATGGAAGCCATCTCCGCCAATCAGTAACGCCGCTCTCCGCAAATCAGGCAACGCCCGAAAAATGAAACGTGATGCATCCCATCGATGCAACGAAAACAAAAGCCCCGAGAACAATCCAATTCGCCCCAAAACCGGACCCTGAACCAAGACACCTAGAAAAAGCGCATTGGCGAGGTCGTCAAGGCGGGACCACTCGTCGTTGCCCCCCAGGGCGTCCGTCCAACACACTGCAAGCACCTCCGCTGCGCGCCGAGGTTTGTGATGGAGCAGTGCGAGCAGACGTGCCTGCCGCAGGCGCCGCAGGAGTGGTCCGCCTCGAAGCCGTCGCCGTAGCTGCACGCGTCGTCGATGTCCATCCCGTCCGCCGCGCCGTCGGAGGAGCCCAGGCCGGTACCGCAGTCCTCGCATCTGATTGGGGAAAGCGCCGCCCGATCGACGGACGGGGCCGAGGAGGGTCCCAGGCTGGGCGGCGGCGCGGACTTGATGGTCCAGAAGCTGTGGAGGGACTTTTGCGTGTTGCGTGCGGCGGCGGGTGTGGGGAAGGGTTCGGGGTCGGCATCGCGGGCTTGGTTGATGGCGTGTTGGGGCTGCTGCTGCTGCTGGGCGGAGTAGAGCATGTTCAGGGTGCGTTCTGTCGACGAAGGTAAACTCGGTCAGCATTCTCTTCCGAGTGGGCAACGGTTAGAAGACCGCAGCGGACAGGACTCACGGTGGATCTGGTTGTCGGACGGTCTGTTGTCGCGGAAGCGCTTCATTGTGCGGCTGGGAAGATGCGATGGCGTCACGTAGGCGCGGGGGTACATGGGGCTCGGGGAGACGGGGGAGTCGAAGGACTCGATGCTCGAATCGGAGCGAGCGGGCGAGGTGAAGGAGGTGAAGAGCTCGGATTCGGAGCGCTTGCGCTTAAAGGCCATGTTGGGTTCGTGGACGCGGGGGTGTGAAGATGTTGAGTGGGGATGTCGACGTCTTCGGAGGACAGGAGGGATACGGCGTAATGGCTCGTTCGAGAGGAATTGGAGACGCTGTGATGGCGAGGTAGAATGTCGGTGCAGAATTCGAGGGGTGATTGACGATGTTATGCTGGTGGAATAATGTGCAGTGGTTAGATGGAAGAAGGATTGTGTCACCACTTTAGCCTGGCGCGTCGCGTTCGCGTGGCTGTTTAGGTGGGCAGTGGCGCGCGCCAGGTTCGTGACAGTCAGTCCCCCGCAGCGTGTTAATGGGACCCACTAACCCTGCCTAAACGGGCTCAGCGTTGTTCCTGATCCCATACTTAGTTGCAGGTCATGCATGCTATGCAAAAGGCCTTCTCGTAATTAACTAGCTTGAGGGGTTAATCTGTTTAGGCATCGGATCTTGCATAGGGGAAGGTATCGTTGGAGAAGAAACACGGACACCCGGCCCCGTTGCCCGTGCACCGACAAGCCGGCCGTCTCGCCGTCCGGAGTCTCCACTCGCCGGGCCTCTCTCATCCCGCCGGCTCCAGTCGCCATTGGTGAGGGCCCCCTCCAGCGAATGAATGTATTGGGAGGTGGCTACGTAGGTAATAAGCATTTAAGCTTCTTTCATGCCACAACTTTGGCTCCAGTGGCTGCCACACGTTTGACATGTCCCATCCAGGAACGGGCGGAACTGGCTGGGTGCCAGATGAGTTTAAGACGTAAACTATCAACCCCTCGGGCCCGTTCCGTCATGGTAAACTTTCGGCTCGGGCGGATGGCTGGAGGGTTACCGGCAGTCTGGTACATCATCCCCATTCCTAAAAGGACGTCGCCGCGTTCCGGACCTTTTGGCAGCGTACACATAACCCCGCTGTGGCCGCGCACCAGCAGCATTAATGGGCAGAGGATGCCCCCCCCCCCCCCCCCCCTCTCCCCTACTACGTAGAGACACAAGACACCACCACGTCTTCCCGGAGAGATGATTGAAATGGCTGCCCAGCGCCTTTGCTCCGCCACTGTAGCAGGTAATTTTTGAGGTTTTGAGGTTTTTGAGGTTTTCGAGGTTTAACCCAGACGGGCCAGTCCCACGAACCACGTACGTCCACGCACGCATCCTCTGCGCCTTTACCCCCCCATAGACCAGTGGGAGTGCCAAAAGACAAACGACAGGGCAGGCTGGTGATTCGGCTGTGTGTGGCGGTCTACGATGAGGCAGCTAAGAGGCCACACCCCATCCTCAAAAAGAATGAACCTCAAATCCACCACGCGCGTGTCCTCCAGCTAGCCAGATGATTCTTTATTACCTTCAGCTCCCCCCTCGGTGTTTAGTTTTTCTCCCTTTTGTTCTTTTGTCCTATTCTCTCAGGCTCTTTACTCGTGATCCGAGTCACAACCGCGCTCGGAAGCTCTCGACCCACGGGAAAGCCTTATTCCCGGCCCGGATCTTGGGCGTTTTAGTAAGTCTGCTATCCCTTCAATGACAGGGAATCCTGTTGCTGACGGTCGCCCCAGCCATTTGATTGCACTGCCCCTTATACGAACACCGCCCGATCCTCCAGTCTCCTGGGGAGCCCATTGTTAGCATGAGCCACGATCAGTCGCGCTCCCTTTATGGCGAGACCGCTGGCCGTGACCATGACGATGGTGACTTCACAAACCATCCTATACTCTATCCCATCAATCACCCGATAAACTACCCCATGAACAATCCCATAAACCATCCCCCGTCGACCTATGGTGGCTACCCTGTGATGGAACAACACCCTTACTACCCTCAGGTGCTCGACTTTTCTGAGGCCGACTCTGGCCATGTGGATTACCCGCAGACGAACATGCAGTCCCAGTACCCCCCGCAGGCTCCGGATGTCCAACAGTCAGAACCCTGTCAGGCGTGGGCGGATGTGAACGCCAAGCTACACACCATGCCCCGCCCCGGAAATGCAGTCCTTCTCGCGCCCCAGCCCATGTATTTGACCCCGAGCAGCATTGCCACAGACAGCCAGTATTCGTCCCCGAGCCTGATATTCGATCAAACCCACCTGAAGCCTTACTGGGCATGCGACACTGTCAGCAACACCAGCGGGCAAACGAACAACTCGAGCCGCCACGAAACATGTTCTTCCTGCGGGGAGTCAGTAAACTCGAGGCAGATGCAGCGTCACATCCAAGACCGTCACCGGCAAGAAGGCGACCCGCATTACGTGTGCAAATGCGGCCGCGCACACCCGTTCCAGCGCAAATGGAACCACATCCGGCACCTGGACAACTGCAAGCGGAAGGGCGACCCCGGCCGGGTTTTCACCTGCAGATGTGGAAATTCACTGAGTGATCTGCTGGCTCACCTGGACCACATCGAGCACTGCGGGAACCGGAGACCCGGGCGGCCTCGAACAATCAACTGAGCCGGGGGCGTTGGCCGACTTTCCGTCTCGCTGCGGCCGGATTTTCGGGACCAGTCGCGAATGCGATCGCTAAGGCTCGACAATGGCCCTTTGCGCTTTAACGTGATCCCGATCCTCTCATCTAGGGGGGATCTCGGCGCTGAGAGTTGATAATAGTAATAAATACCTTTCGAGTCTCCCGTCCTGCCGTCCATAACCCACCTAATTGTATCCCTGTCATGGGATCCTTGATGCTCTGATTGCGTGATGCCCGCACGTCCACTGTATAATAACTAGTCAGTCCACGCAGATACTGTTTTCCCCTCTAAGCCATTCCAGAGCAGATGTGATCTCCTGCTGGTAGATCCAATGGAGCGGCACATGCAGCGTTATTGACAGCGCGATGAGCCATGTTCGAAATGAAGCTTCATGTTCATCGACGCGATGAAAGAAGAATTAAAAGAACAGTTGCCCATACTTTATATCCCATGAATTCTTCTGCCTAGAAAGAAACAGACCTGACCCCATAACCTTCGTGTCAGTCGTAGCACATGGCGGCCTCCATTAGGATCCTCCAACCCTTCTATTAATACCCGTGCAGCTGCGTGATTTATTCCTGGCCCAACTGCCTAAGGGAGTATCTCATGGTCTCCCCAAGCGCACACAGGCGCACATCTCATGACTTATGGCTTATCAGTTGCATTTTTTCTCAGCTCGGAAGAGGGGGCTGGGCCTGGTTCGGCACTCTTCATTCCTTACGCCTTGGTGTTGAGGTGCATTTCTGCCTAAACTCGGTGAGACTCGACACAGCCATTGGCCCTCGCCTCATTGTGAAGCTCAGTTCTAGAGCCGAAGCGAGATCTCCCCCCTCGCATTTTCTTTCCCTATCCTGCAATTTCGAGGATAAATCTTCCAACGGGTACTGATCACCCCACCGTGAGGGTTCATTACTCAATCGGGAAAGGCTTGCAACCTCATAGCGCGCCAGACGCCTTGTCGCCTTTCTGCTGCCTAGGGGGCTAGGTATTGGAATGGCTTCCCAGCGCGGGTGTTCATAAACGCGGCGCCTCGCTGGGAGCATCGATGGTTCGCCAATGAACCCTCATGACAAAAGAGCTACGGTCTCGCTTTATCGCGATGAGGTCCACTTAGATGCGCTCTTGCAGGGTTGTGACAGTGTGGCACATTAACGCATCGGAGCCTTGTGATGATGCTTTTATGGATAAAATGTAGTCATTCCAGACCCCCATAAGTGGTCCAGTGCACTTCACCCGGTATATGAGAACCCCGATACGTAGACACTTTACATGGAGAAGCAGCTTGCTAGTAATAAGTTTCATGCTCAGCGAGCCATTCTTCGTCAGTTCATCTCCATATCGGACTGCAGAATACCAGACGACAACATTCGAGTTCGTCATCTCCAATCCCTGACAACTCAGATCTCGTGATATCTGACAATCTGACTACAAGCAAAGACTCGCCCGCTTACGCATCAGTCTATCACTCATGCGCTGGTCCGGCGGCAGATCCGGAGACATGACACTTCACCAGGATCAGGCTGACTCCAAGCTCGTCGGGGAAAAGTACGAGATCAAAAGCCACAAAGTCAGTGGCGAGTACCTCGACGTCTACGTCGTCACCGACGCGCGAGGCGCCTGCTTCGAGGCGCAGGCCTTCGCACCCATGGCGGAGATGCCGCGGGAGCGGGAGGGCCTCCGCCAGGCGCGACGGCGGCGCATGCGGCGCATCTGCGGCTCGCCGAACTTCGCGGACGAGTTCGAGCACGGCGGCCGCCGGTTCCTGGTGTCGAGGGTGGAGAGGAACGGTAATGAATGGCCGTACCTGCAGGGCCTGTGCCAGGGCCGGCGGGCGTGCGCAGAGCGGGAGGTCTTGCCACGGGAGCAGGAGGCCACCTGCGGAGAGCGGCAGAGGGGATACGAGTGTCGGGGTCCGTCTGATGAGGCGTTGGACCAGCAACAGCGACGGTCGAGCTATGCGGAGGCGGCTATGTCGAACAAGGTGGAGGTTTCGGGAGGTATAGATGCGCACGCGACGAGGAAACGTATGTGCCTCACCTTGGGAAGTCTCACAGGGTTCAAGAGATATTCAGTATAGAACGGGGACGAACGGCATCATTTTATTGTTCCACCTGATGCTGTTCTAATCATGCAACATGACGTTTGCCTTCTTTGTAACTGCAATTCTTGTTGGTTATTTGATCTGTCTAACAGAAGGACGTACTTACCCTCTCGATGCATTCATTCCCTGGGGGTGTTCTCACCGACGCTGACTGGAGCCGGCGGGATGAGGCCCGGCGAATGCAGACTCGGGACGGCGAGACAGCCGGCTTGCCAGTGCGCGAGCAGCGGAGCTGAGCGAGTGTTTCCCCCTTCGAGTACCATAGCGCAAGCCACATCACGTGCGTTATTTATATGTCTGCGTTAGATACCCATCATACCAGTCATCATATCGTGTCCAGGCAAACAAGCTGCAAGCCAATGATACTCAGGAGAAAGTCACAAATGAACATGAGTAAGTAATCTGAGGTATTCAAGGTGTATATGAACAACACCGCAACAACGGTCGAGACTCAACTGAGTCGCAAGAGCGAAATCCGGAATGAAAGGCACTTGCACCAGTTAGCTGATCATTTTTATTAGTTCGTACAACCCAGAAAACACTAGCCCCTATAGACGGGTATCTTCGTGACGTTTCATCAAGGTCTGTGATATAAGACGTCCAATAGCCTCTGCCTAGCCAGATACAGACACGATGGTATTCTTGTTGTGCCCAACGTTTGATCAGTCGACAAGGGCGGCACAATAGCCTTGAACAGCTAACAAACTGATACCAGACAGCTTTTGAGGTCGGTCTAAATAGAATACTTGAGGAAACGCTCAAGCTCGGGCGTCCAGTTGCGCTGAGGATCCCAAAGAGCTATGCTAAGCCCATGCGGCCCATCTGGAAGTACCAGCACCTGAGCTGACCGACTGTGGGCGGCCATGGCCTCAGCGAAGAGGAGAGTGTTCTGCACAGGAACCACGTCGTCGTCGGCCGTGTGGAACAGGAACGTGGGAGGCGTCGTCGCCGAGACGCGGTTCTGCGCCGACAGCTCGTGTTCCAGCTCGGGGCTCGCGTTGGCGCCGATGAGGTTGTCGCGCGAGCCTATATGGGTGTAGTTCCCTTCGAGGGTGATGACCGGGTAGGCGAGGATGCCAAAGTCTAGGCGGGCGTCCGGGTTGGTCAGGGTCACCGCGGCGAGGTGACCGCCTGCCGAGAAGCCCCAGATGCCGAGCTTGGTGGTGCGGTTCTGCCCGCGGATGTAGCTCAGGGCGTCGAGCGCCTCGTTCTGGGGCTTCGGGTAGATGGGCGGGGTCGCGTTCGAGGCCGTGGTGTAGTCGAGAACCCAGGCATCGATGCCCAAGCTGTTCAGGAACTTCGCTGGGATATACCCCTCATTATCAATGGATACCATAGCGTACCCGCCTCCAGGGCACACGAGAACACCGGTGCCCGTCGAGTTCGCCGCCGGAAAATATGTGATTTGAGCCGTATCGAGCCTACGATAACAGTCAGGGTTCCATGACTCTCCTACCAGCTCGCCACGAAGCGTCGTCGGGCCTGGGCGCTTGGGACTTCTCACCTCTTCACAATTTGATGAGGGGATCCGTTAGGAACCATTTTGTTGGCCTCATATGAGACTGCAGACACGCCTTGAAAGAGGAAGCCTGCGGCTAGTGCTAGTATAGACCTCATCATGTCTCTTGGGACCCGGTTCAGATCGTATTGGGGGCAACAAACGTTGAGGTTGGTAACTCCCACAATTTCGGTGCTGTCTGGGCTAGTTATAAGACCCGAAGCTGCCGGGTTCGTGACGACATATCCGCAGCCGGCTTTACTTATCCGTTGTAGCGTAGCATCGCTTCATGAGCATTTACCCCATCCTAGAAAAAGACGGAGATGCTGTTGCTTAGTCGGTAAGCTTGGTAAAATCCACGAATGAGAGCAGAATGCTACGTATGTAGCAGGGGGCCCCTCGCTATTGACTCGTCGAGAATCCCGAGAGTGTATTGTGTTCGTGACCAAGGATTCGGGCAATAGTTAACAACAGTAAAGGGGCCCTGGGACCCCAGCAAAACTAATGATGTAAACAGAGGTCAGTCACCTGTTCACAAAATCTTTACGCTTATTGCACACTAGTGCCAAAGCAAGATGAGATGCAAACCTTATTTCTTCCAATGATGCGCTTCTTCCGTACAAATTATCAATACCGGCACTAGTTAACGTAGTTTCATGAGTATAAATCCCTCGAAGCGTATTTGAACGTCTCATTTCTCATCACACATTACCATGCATCTGTTGGCCGGGTATAAACCACCCTTCTGCTCCACTACTGTAATCATTTTGATTGACCATCGTCGGTAATAATACGTCAACGCAACAATACTTATATCAGCCAAGAACACACAGCACATGGAAAGTTTTTTTTCTTCAGTAGTTTTTCTTTTAGTTAGGGTTTTTTTTTTTTTTTTTTTTTTTTTTTTTTTTTTTTTTTTGCGACGTGGCTCTGTCTGCGACGTTTACGGCGACATTACCCTTACCAGGCTGCGAAGCCTTTGAAACGACGGGGATGGCTCGAACACGGCTTACGTCAGGGCCGTACGCGTTTATCCAGGGTCCGTCACAATTGACGGTGGCATTACCGTCTTGGTTAGTCAACTGGTCCTGTGAGGCTCTGCCAGCTCGTCTGAACGTATCATCTTAACACGTTCCCTCCACTTAAAGTTGGCTGGGTGGAATTGCAAGCGCTTGGAGCGAACTCGGAATCATGCATCCAGCCTGATTCTTGTATTCTGTGATTATTTGTTATCAAGTCAAGGGTCGTATACAACGGTAGTTTACAGCGGTAGCATTGCTTCAGATAAGCGTATGCACATTGCCGCTCTAAAAACGACGCGCGTTAATTGCAGGCAGCAACTAACACCTTGTATCACTTCACCTTATCGTGACACACATCATTCAACCAGCTGCCTAATAGCGTAAGATTGGCAGCATGCCTGCCGAGTGATAAGTCGCAGACCGAACGGGTTTGGTGTATAGCGCTTTTGGGCAGGTAATATAATAGCAGTCTAATATGGTAGCCGAGATACCAGGCCAGACGTGAAATTACCTGGATATATGCAGCGAACGTAGCATACTAAATAACTATTGCAAGCCGCTACAATTGTCGTGTTACCGATAACTGTATCGAAAGATGCAAATATGTATCTTTGCCATAATGTCCACCATAGATAGTTTGAATATGGGCTTGTCTTCTTTAATATTACGGACTAAAATTGTTCTTACTTGGTTGGATGGGTTACGAGTATGTGTATCCTGGAGAAGTCAGCTCAGGGTATCACTGACCTGCAAGCAAGTGGAGTTATGACCCAAAAACAGATTAAACGCCGGGGGTGTCTAGAACGGCGACCGAACTGATATAAACACCGCTGTCTCGACTCTTAGTATTTGCCCTAGCCTTGGTTTCTCTTAGTTAATGGAGGCTTTGAGAGGCGGCCCGACGATGTCGAAACAAGCATAGCGACACCCGCTCAGTAGCGCATCTTGATGGTAGCCATGATCTCAAGGAATTCCGTGGAAGACCGGTGGGTTTGTATCTCCATGTAAAGAAAGTCGAACAACACCAACTAACGAGTTGTAGCAGCGGGTCCGGGGTTGAACTGCTGGCAGTTACCGCAAACCAAACAACGACACCACCCTCGCCCAATCCCTCGATCGAAGATAACACACCCCTGGTAGACGCCATAGACGACACAAGGAGTGTGTCCAGTTTCAGGGCAGCACGTTTCGCCGACGGAGACCTCTTATCAGGATGGTTTCCCCAAATCGAACGCGACGAGAACAGCAGTTGGAGCATGTGGTTGTCGAAGAGAAGCCGTGCGCTCATGATCAAGATTGGCATCATCAGTACCATCTTCATCACGAACCTCGTTGTGACAATATTCGCCTACTCGAGTTACGGCAGCAAGAAAGGAGTGGGACTTATCTACCATGGCGACTGCTCGACGGTAAAACAACTTGATCAATGGATACATCTGCTCATCAACCTTCTGGGCACGGGGATGCTGTCTGCTTCCAACTTCTGCATGCAGCTGCAAGCCGCTCCTACTCGCGAAAAAGTCGATGCTGCGCACGAAAAGGGCAAATGGCTAGATATTGGCGTACCCAGTCTTCGCAATCTGAGGTACCTCGATAACTGGCAGCGAGCTTCTTGGGCATTGCTAGCCCTCACCTCTATACCAATACATCTAATGTGAGGCACTCAACTTCATCTTTCTACAAAGAAGGGACTAGGCTGATGAGCCGTTAGTTATAACTCGGCAGTTTTCCAGTCGCTATCGTCGCACAACTACACAGTGGCAGTCGTCAAAGACTCTTTTCTGAACGGTAGCTCTTGGAACCTTGAAACAGCTGAACGCAATCGTGCTGGAGACTGGGGGTGGAACGATACTCGCGTTAACCCACTGAACCTGGATTACGAAAAGGTCATCCAAGACATGCAGCACGCTGCGTCAACGTACGAAAAACTGAATATTTCTGCTTGCTTCGACCTCTACGACGATTATTGGAAGCCTCAAGGAAATGCAATAATACTGGTTAGGAACGAGTCGGTTCAGATCACGCCGGATGACAGCCTGCTGATGTATGTCTCCATCGTCCCACGTTTGGACGACTGGGCGAAGAACATGTGGGCGCTCGGAAATGGCAGCGGTGTTTTTCTGGCCAAGTCGCCGCCGAAACCTGTGACGAAATGGCTCCTTGGGCCCAAACTATACGAGGTTTCTCGGTGTCTTGTCCAACCACCGGCCAGTCTTAGCACAAAGTGCCGGTTCGAATATTCGCCACCGATCATGTTCACGATTATCCTCATGAATTTGATCAAAGTCATCACCATACTATCAATATGGATAGCTAGGAGAAGCCAAGTGCAAAAACAGCAGGATAAGGCTCAGGAAGTGTTATATACTCTAGGTGATTCAATTGCTTCCTTCATGAGGGAACCCTGCAAGCAGACCATTGACATGGGCCTCGCGACAAAGTACGACTTTCTGGCTACAAGTAGCTTGTTCAGGAGGCGCCCTCCACACGGTGCCCGAGTTCCACCGGCGCCTCGTACCTTCAAGACCGAGCCTAAGCAGTGGAGATCGGCGGCGGGTCTCCTACAATGGGCACTACTACTTTTGATGTACTACGACCCAGTTGTCTATTCCATCCAACACTCAGCTGATCTCGCTATAGGTGTTTGATTATGGTCATTGTTCCAGCCGCCCTCCTTTTCCGGTCATTTGCCAGTTTACGGCTTCGAGAAATGAAATTCAGCATCCCAGAGCTGTGGAAGCTCGGCTTTGGAGAGTTGACGCCTGTTACCTATATAAACATCAACATGCCGCGCACGGATCCGGTAGGCCTTATCGCCAACGTTATCCTGGTTAATATGCCTCAACTGGTTCTCTCGGTACTATATGTTCTCTACAACACTATGCTGAGTACCTTTCTGGTACAAAGAGAATTCAGCCGACTGTGTGAATACAGATACCGAAAGCCCCTGCGGGTTTCAGAGCCCGTAGGCATTCAGCGATCGAGTTATTCCATCTCGCTCCCTCTGAGATATGGAATTCCCTTGTCCGCCAGCTCGGCCTTGCTGCACTGGTTGGTCTCGCAGAGTATCTTCCTGGCACGAATACGAGCGGTCCTACCGGACGGGCGTGATGATGAAATCAACTCATTCTCCACCTGCGGCTATAGTCCAATTGCGCTCTTCTTCAGTGAGTTTGAGACCTTCCATTGTGGCAGCTGTTGACGTTTTCTAACTCTGGCCAAAAGCGATGATTGCTGGAATTGTCCTTGCCCTCGTCATAGTTGGTCTTGGACTTCGTCGTTATGATGGCACAATGAGAATGGTGTCGACGAACAGCTTAGCTATCAGTGCCGCATGCCACGTGTTGCCAGAAGACCGCAAATATGGATATATGCTTCCTATCCAGTGGGGCGTTGTGGAGATGAAGGGCGGCGTGGGTAAATGTGCCATGACGACAGCCGCAGCAGGAACTATAAAATTGCCAAAGTTTGGGTTACGATACAGGTAATGATGTAGAGAAGAAAAGCTGCGTTGATAATAGTAAAGTGACATACTTATTGAGTGCGGATTACTAGTCATGACTGGCTTGTTTGGAAGGCTTCTGGCAACCATTCCCCTTTTCTAGAGTTATTCATCAAGTGAAGTCCTAGGTGTTCTCGAGGTGAAAGAAAATTAGGGGTTCAACTTGAAGAATCTGAAATTGAAATCAAAAGACTACCAGTAATATCGTGGTTTGATTGTTTGAACCTCTCAACACTTCATTACTGCTACGTTTTGAGAAGACAGAGAAAGTAACGTAAAACAAATCAATCCAGAAAAGTTTGGTACAATTTGAGGAGAGAGTTGATTGTGAACATCATTCCTCCGCCTCGCCCTCCTCTGCTTCATCGTCCTGCGGTTTCTGAGCATAGACCACATGGCTGTGTTTAGTATCGTTAGCTGACATAACTGGAAACATCCAGCAAACAGCAAGCTTACATTGCGGTGTGCGCATGAAAAACCCCCGACTTCAGCTCCTTGCGTACTTGAGCGAGCATCACTATGACCTCTTCTCTATCCCACCCAAGGATTCCGCAGAAAGTTCTCAGGCTGAAAGCATCCAGGCCATCTAGAAGCTGAACAAGATTGATCATACCGATATCTTTGTAATGTGGATCTTTGGGCCAGGGTCTGATCGGTAACTTGAATTTCTGATGGAAGACGTCGACGAACCCGGCGTCCCTAGTCCATCCTTCAAGCTTCGGTCCGGGACACGGGTCTCGGCCTACCGTCCTGCAAGCCTCAATCAACTTCTCGCCCCATTTTCTTGTCTCGTGTTTCTCAGTTAGGGTATCGTCATCCGAGGCAGGAGTTATGTCATAGTCTTGAAATTCTACCCAACCACCAGGGTTGAGGTTTCTGAAATGGGGATTAGTGTTGTACATATGGGCAAAAGCGTTTTTGGGGGGTGTACTTGTATATATTTCTCATCAGCTTTGGCCAGTCTACAACTGACCCGGCCATGTAACGGCAGAAGATAAAATCGTACTTCTTTTGATTTACCCAGGGGCTCTCAATATCGTCGATCTCAAACTTGACATTTGGGGGAACACTGTGGTTTCTTTGTTAGTCTTGAACTTACTCTCATTAAATGAGAGTTATATGCGGACGCATAGTTTGTTACCAAGATGGCTGGATGGCACTCAGATCATTTCCAACAATCTTAACCAACATTAGCGTTTCATGATGCATACTACATCGGGAAAGTTGATCTTTCAATACCTCAGCATTTGGAAAGATTTCTGCTGCTTCCATTGCCCCTGTAGCATTTCTATGTCAAATATGCTCAAGAATAAGTCCCAAATTGAAGAAGAAGAAAAAACCCATTACTTACATATGCCAGTACCAGTACCGATATCAAGGATTCGATGTGTGCTTGCCTGCGGGACTGGGGCTAGAAAGAGCTTTCTGCCAATTGCCTTCATAAGTAACAGGTGGTTCAGATCAAGTCGATCCATTTCGCTCTTTTTCATGCTTAGTCGACTACTTTGAATGCCCGGAAATGATCGCGATTGACTTTACCTCATCATTGGGTGCCAAGTACGCTGTTTAGTCGTTAGTTGCGAATCAGAGCCTGCGGCATGCCATATACAAAAGAAGCATTGCTGATCTGGGGGCGTATAAGTTGAACACTCACATCCTGCGCGAAAAGCATGGTAACGGCGGCCGTACTCGGTGGGATATTCAACCGCACTCGAAGTCAGAGAAGCAGTATACGTGGAACTGGGTTATCAGCTTCTCCCCATCCAAATACATGAAACAACAGTAAAGAAATGGCGAGTAGAATTAAGAGAGAATGAAAATCGACACATATTCCCATAATAGCAGAAGGAAAACAGCCGAAACCAATAAACATCCTCACATTCGATCGTCAATGTTAGAGGTAGTCTCGTCAAGCTGGTGTTCAGGTTAGTATACCGCTGGCTGAAAGCTGCAAGGATCATACATACACTAGCTAAATCGTAGACTTCAACGTTGGCAGAAACATTCACTGATGTATTCAAGATTTCTAATACCGGTGGTGTGGTTTCCGAGTTGGATGTTGGTGCCGAGGCCTGGGCCTGCGAACTGGTCGATGAATATGCCATTTGCGAGTTCTGCCGTTGAAACTTTGTGAATCACGTCGCCCAAAAGAGTATATGGGAACTATGGTATTTATTGCCGAAGTACGGCTTAACATGGTCTCTTCTGGTCATTTGGGGGCTGATAAGAAGAGCATTTTCGGCCGGAGAAGAGCCCGTTGTTGGTGCAGTGACCGACGAGTGTACTGTCACATGATTTTTAAGGTTCCGCTGATTTGCATTTGACAAGAGTCTGGAACTTATCAATGACTTCTCAGCGGGTTATTGGCGGAGCAGCTTCCTAATATGTACAGTGGTGCATTTGACAATCCACTTAGCACCAAAAGCACTTTCGTATTCGACAAAGCGTCATGCAAGCCAGGGTAAAAGATAACTCGGCCATGCATTGTTTGCTTCCTCATACCTTGGCATGTTTGCAAAGAGACAACGGTGTTGTGCATTGAGGGGTCAACCCGCTGATCTCTACTTAAACCTACGAACTTGGCAATAGTCCTGGCAATGAGGATTAGAACGCATATGACTGTATGGTTTATGTAATCAATCCAGTTCTCACTTCTCCTCCAGAAACAATAGCAGATGTTACAGGTTGAAACTCAGCTGGGAAGTCGAGGGCTTTTTATGCCTTCGAGCTTGGACAAGCATGGACGAACACGCGGCCGGGCGGATGGCAGCATCGATCGGCGGTTTCTGTGGGGCTTTGGCGGCTTCGGCGACCGGGACCCACCGAAACTGCCGAACGGCACGGCCCAACACTACGGCCCAACACTATGGCCCTTTGGCGTGTCTTGAAGTAGGTAGAACGAGACGATGCAAGTAGGCGCCCTTTCGGAATTTCCATCTTAAATCAGATTCAGTACCGATTTTCGTCGATAAATTCCCAACGTGTATCGCGGTAAAGAAAACCCCCAGCCTCTTTACTCCCTCTGCCCTTTATCGACTTTGGTGGCAGGGTGAGTCAAGGGGGGCATTGGCCGCCCTGCAGAAACTGGGGAACGTGACCGAAATAGTCGGCACTGGCGGCTCCATTCGTATTGGGAGCGGATTCTTTAACGGCAATAATATTGATTCAGAACCCCCGACTATGTCTTCAGAATTTCTTTTCTAGCACTTGCACTGGTGGCAGGGCCGCAAGAAGCGGCTCAATCACGATGGAGGGGTTGCGATCGCATCTTGAATGGCACGGCAGAACTGTATCATTCAGCGGCTATTTAGAGAAGCAATTTCCCAAGAGGTTTCGAGACTGGGAGGATAAACCAGACCCTCTTTGCCTCTTCAATCGTTCTACTTCCTTGCCTACACCATCGTCGTTGGACCTCATACCCGCGTCTCCAGGTCTCCTGGGCACCTTCGCGGATTTTCTCGCTTTCAGAAAGTTATCACAATTTTATCCGATCCCGGGATTTCTAGTCTGTTGTAGCATATACTGTTCGAAAAGGCCGTCTTTTAGTTTTTATCTTCTTTCTGTCTTACCTTTGCCAAGTTTTCCTGTGCTCAGATACTTGCTACCGCAATGAGGCTTTACTTTCCACTAGCCATCCTAGGCATTGTGGTCTTGGTTTTCGGAGCCTTCAGCCCAACATCAAAGAATAATGTGGTTGTCTACTATGTAAGGCCACGGCGTTGAATTGTCTAATACGAACCGAAACCAGAGCTGACTGTGTCATAGGGACAAGGTCCGAATCAGGCCGACCTACTTTACCACTGCCAGCAACCCGAAATTGATGTGATCGTACTTTCGTTTGTTTATCTTTTTCCAGCGCAAGCGAATGGCTACCCAGGAACGAACTTTGGAAACCGATGTGGTAATCAAGTCTACCCGGGCCCTGGCAACGATCCGTCAAAAAACCAGCTGAAATCGAATTGCCCAACTCTCAATGATCAAATTCCTCAGTGCCAGCAACAGTACGGCAAGAAGATCTTGTTGTCTCTTGGAGGCGGGGTCACAGCCTACCAGCTCACAGGAAAAGCCGAAGGCGAGCTCCTGGCGACATATCTGTGGAAGATGTTCGGTCCCAAAGACCCTAGTTGGACCGGGCCCCGCCCCTTCGACAACAACGGACAGACTGTTGAAGTTGACGGTTTTGACATGGACATTGAACATCCATCAACAGGTAAGTCTCTGCATGCTCATTTCCATTGTGACGACCGCGAGCTGATGCCACGGCCAATAGACAACTCCGCTGGCTACATTGCCCTCGTCAGTCTCTTGCGAGCATTTTACGCATCAGCGTCGAAGCGATATTACTTGACCGGCGCTCCCCAGTGTATTGTGCCGGACGCCAGTATGGCGGCCATGATATCTAACGTCAAGTTCGACATGCTCTTCGTCCAGTTTTACAATACTCCCAGCTGTTCAGCCGCCACCTGGGTCTCGAGCAACCCGTCCTATGTCCCTGGCCAATCCTTTCAGGGGGGTGGGTTTACTTTTGACTCATGGGTTCAATGGCTATCAAACACGCCGAGTCGAGATGCAAAGGTGTTTATCACATTGCCTGGCTCGCCAGACGCTGCCAACCCAGGAAACTATATAACCCAGAGCCAAGCCAAGAACCTCATCAGCGCATATTATTGTCGGCCGTCCTTCGGAGGTGTTGCTGTATGGGAAGCGACACGAGGAGCCAGTAATCTATACAACGGCAAATCTTTCCAGGCCACAATGAAGTTGTGGCTTCAGGGAGCTGCAGAAGACACGCGGCTAGCAAGCTGTCAAGTGAGTTTGTGAGTGGAAAAGTGTAGTGGTCGCCAGCTGACATTTAAGGAGGCCCCGGTAACATCGTCGTTGCCATCATCTGTGCAGCCGACCCAGCCGACCAGTTCGGCCCGGCCCAGTCCGAGCCCCAACCCTCCTAATCCCGGCCAGCCCGGCCTTTGCGGGGCCGGCGTGCAGTCGTGTGGCAGTGGATATTGCTGCAGTGCACACGGCTATTGCGGAACGACAAGTGAGTACTGCGGGAAAGGGTGCCAACCAGCCTTCGGCACATGCGCGACAGGAGGCGGAAACGGAGGCTCGGGACTACCGACCTCAACCGATGGATCGTGCGGCGCCGGAAAGGCGACGTGCAAGGGTAACGGCATCTATCAATGCTGTAGCCAGTGGGGTTTCTGTGGAAACTCTAACGGGCATTGTGGTGCCGGTTGCCAGTCCGGATATGGTATTTGTAGTTGATGGACGACGGGGACAGTTGATGCAGCAGAGTACATAATATGTGATGTCGGTGTTTGTACATGAACGCATAGGGAGGATTAGTGTAGGTATTACGAGAAGACGACAGTGATGAATGGCAACGAAAGAAACATTGTATCTCCTAAAGTCGGTCACGGTATCCCGGCAGTTTGATGAAGCTCATGGGTAGCCACCAAGAGACACGCCTGGGCCTGGTTCGTGTTTTTCCTTTCTTCTTTCTTTTTGTTTTCTTTTTTTTGTTTTTTGGAAACCTCGACATCGCCATCCCTCCGACTCGTCTGATTTGTCCCTCAATGTTCTAACTCTTTTTATTTAAGCAGGTACCCTCAGTTCCCTCGTTCATACATACTATGGTACCAGGCCGAAGTTTTATCGCCCCTGTCAGGTACCCCCCTCTAGTCCGTAAGCTGTCGACGCTATTTAGCTATTACGCATCACCTATCACCACCACTATAGAATTCTATAAGAGATAGGTAGGGTGCTTAGATACTGTGTGGCGATTTACTATGGTATGAGGCCGAAGTAAAAGCTCCCTGTTAGGCATCTAATGTTCATCCCCATACTCTGTTGGTGAATATTCCCCCTCTATAACGATGTCAGCTATGGGGAGTAACGTCACGGGGAGCTTTTACTTGCCCCTACCACCCTGTACATCACTAGGGCTATCCCTTTAGTTGCGAAATGACCTCATTATCCTCTGGGTGGATCCCCCTCCACTTTTACCCCAATATTTCGGAGATACATGACAATACATCGTTCTAGAATGTTATTTTGTTAGCAACCACTACTAATTTTAATATTATTACTAACATCATTATTAAAATTTATAGTAATATTTATATAGAGTTCTAGTAGGAGGACCTAACTATTACCTGTCTAGATGACTATATCCTAGAGTAGTATAATAATGTAATAGTTTAGCTTAGTAAAGGACCTAATAGGGCTACTTAGACTATAATGTACTGTTATGTAAAGGTAGAGATTGCTGGTACCTTTGGAATAGGTAAAACGCTATAAATATAAGTACCTTGAAACTATTAGCTTTCGGCGTTAATTACTGTGACCTGATTTGCTCCTACCCCTCACGGAGGATAATGAGGTCATTTCGCAACTAAAGGGATAAACTTTCCCCCTGTACAACTTTCCTAACAACTTATACGGACCTCTATCTGGTATCTTACATCATTGTTTGTAAATCACTCAAACTCTGTGGAAACATAGCTGAAATTCATTCCTCAACCAGTGAAGCTTAGCACAGGTATCGCTCAACGACACGGGCGCACCTTTGCACGGGCACACCGGAGCGGACGCCGGTAGCTGTTAAGGGTTTGATTGGCCCTGCCTACACGGCTTAGGCGACTCGGCCAAATCCCGTTGTGCTTGCCGTCCATCAGATCAAACAACGCACGACACCTGCGGGGGTTAAACAAGCTTGATCCGATACCTTCTAGTCTGAGTTTACGCCACAAGCATGCCAGAAGAAACTCTCTTTCGGTTCCTTTACTGGCTTGACCTTGGGCAAATGTCTTGTAAGGTTGCATCCAAAGCCTCAGTCCCAAATCTACTTTGTGGAAAAGCAGGCTTTTGTGCGCTACCTACCTTATCCGATACCTGGCCATTCCCGCAAGATGGTGTGATCGAGAAGCACTTTCATGGGATTCACGACCTTCTGAAAAGGCTTTACCCGAGGCTCATGTCCTGTACTTTCATTGAAGTCCTCGAGTCCCTTGAATCATCCACGGCCCGCAGCCTGCAGGTCCGATCGGTGTCTCCGGCATGGTGCAACCCCGCACCCTCAATTCGAGGTTTGGATCACGGGCCGAGCCTAGCGAGCAGATGGAAAATGGTGAGTTCTCGCTGCATCCTGAAACTCGAGCTTCGGAATGGTTAAAAGCCAGCATGCCAGACTACAAGTCCTCCAGAAAGGGTTGTCTATCGGCCTGCTTTCCGGACACTCCGCGCGGACATCCCCCCGCAGCGCCGGCCGCCCACCACCCCTCTACGGGATTCCGGCGTCGTGCCAAGCCCGCGGAGATCAACAATACGGCCTTTGGTAGTCTTTGAGGATGATCCCTGACATGGGAAGATGACTCATAAAACACCACCGTTTCTGATTCTGATCCCGGCAATGCGCCGACGCCCGGCAATTGGGCTTGCACAGACATGCTTTCTAGAACTGTGAACGGATAGGAACGCACGTCGTAGAGCCATATGCCCGGACAACTGGCATCTCGCATGATCATTGCGCCGTAGTTGTTGGGCTACTTCCGTTGATTCTGGTTCAACAAAGTGCCCAAGAATTGAAATTTTGGCTTATCGTCTAACCTAGATCAAGCCCTTGGGTCACACTACGACAAATACCAACCTGGCTTCCCGTGACCCTTCGCGAACTGTACTGGCACCGGGCCTAAACCTGGTGCAAAGAGTTTCAATCTCGATCTCGCCGAAGAAAGTGGCACGGCAAGTTACATATTAAACCTACGCATATCCCTGCGAGGCGAGGTACGGAAACATTGCAATCCATTAGCGACGGGCTAAGGGGAAACAAATCGTTTTCTTATGGGGCGAGTCTGGTAAAGTCAACCGACTCAGCATATTCAACAGCTTCTCGATGCCCTTACCCAGCCCTGGTCGAGACACCCCCTCCAGCCATCGGGAATAGAACGGGCTCGAGAGGGGTTTATACGAAGGGAAGCTCCAGCATCGAATAAAGGTTTCGACCGAAGCTTCAAAAAACTCATTATTGTCCCCGAGAGCAAAGTGGTCATCCGGTTTAGTTGTTCCATTGGTCAGGACTATTGCCGGGAGACAGGCATATCCAACCTTGAATTGCACGTGCCGCATACGTAAACTCAATCTCTCGCCCTCTCGGCTGTTGTTTCCTGCCTCGGGTAAAGGAAAACTTCGAGCGGCGCAATATTGCCCACTTTCTTGACGTTGAGATGCTAAGATAGCCGACCTCACCTCCACTATCATCTTTCCCATGTGGTTCAGTGATAGTAATCTACATTCTATAGCACGCTATAACACTCTTTAGTTTCAGTATCGAACTTTTCCATCTGCTAAGCTGTTGACTACCCCGCGCTGCAGTTAGCTATGGACCATTCTCTACGGCCTATGTTATCAGCAGCGTTTCCCGCTGTGAAAACCGTCACCTGCTGCTGCGAATGCTAAACGGTTAAAGTGACAATAAGCCGACAGGCAGATACCCAGAAGCTTATGGTTCTTGTCTCTCAGCCGGACAGCCTGCGCCGCTGAGTAACTTCCAGCGTGCCTCCGTTTAACCCAAGTGAGCGGCGCTGCAGGGACGACGAAGCCGCTGCGGCAGAAGGCCGTTTTTCTTTTCCCAAGTGTTCTAGGGTGGGCTTCCGAACGCAACGCCCACACCGGTGGGATGCGGACTCTGCGCGCACCGCTTCCCTGACTCGCTCGTGAAACACAACGTCCTTGGGGGGGGGGACGCGGCCTGAAAACAGATCGAGGCACTGATACATAGTAAACAGCTCGACTGCCTGTTTCCCCATTAATCCCTCGATTTCCTCTTGCGGACGTGCATGCGTTTTTGTGTTTGCTCTCCATCAACCATGCTTCTCTTTTCGTACGTATTGTATTTCGTCCGCTTCCCCCTCCTCGTTCCAGCTCTGCCCCGTATTGGTTCAAATAATGCTGACTTCAGTCCTTTCTTTGTGCGATGAAGAACTTTACAGAATAACCTGTAGAACGCTCCAGCCTCTTACCTGCTATGAGGTTCTGGCTGGTTCACCATGAGCAACCTTCTTTCCCCGCACTTCAAGCTCGAAGAGGTCTCTGAAAATGATATGGTCATTGCATCGCTGGCCTGGGGCTTCACCCTCGGGTTCGGCTGGCTCACAGTCTGGACTGCCATCAAGCAGACGACCGCGATGTATAAACGCCAAGGCAGCCGCATATACCGGAATGCCTATATCTGGATGATCTGGTTAGAGATTATCGTGTGTACCATTTTTAGCGTTATATGCTGGCTGTATCTAAGAGGCGTTATACCACCAAGGTAAGGCCCACTGCGCATCTCGGGTCTGAACGACACCAAGATTTTACGCTAATCAAGCAAAATTACAGCTTTCAATTCTATTTTAGCATATGTATGTCCAATCCTAAGTTCTCCTGTTATCGTCACATTTTGCGCTAACATCTAAAGTGACGACATGGGCTCTCCAGGTTCGGACACCCCGCATGTTTCTGTTGGTAATCAATTTTCTGACTGAAGCAGGTCCAATTTTTGCTGCAAATCATCATCAACCGCTGTGCCATCTTACTTAACAATCCAAAGCACTCCTTGAGGCTCAAGGTCGGCGTCGCCGTGCTCATCACTGCCGTCAATATCTCAGTCTACAACATATGGATCCCGGCTCGGCTGCAAATATCCGACCGATACGTCGAGATCAACGACTGGTGGGACCGCTGCGAAAAGATCATCTATCTCATTGTTGACGGGGCGCTTAACATTTATTTCGTCCGCATCGTCCAGAAGAACTTGGTTACTCATGGTCTCACCAAGTACAAGCGACTCACGCGATTTAACATGTTCATCATCGGCTTCTCGCTGAGCATGGACGTGCTCATCATTGCCATGATGAGCCTCAAAAACACATTTGTGTAAGTGGTTCCTCTACGGAATTTCTTTTTAAATTCGACGTCATCTCTTCTGTGGCATCAAGATCCCATCACACAACTAGCTAACACATTGAACACAGATACATGCAGTTCCATCCCCTAGCCTATATGGTCAAGCTCAAGATTGAGATGTCTATGGCCGAGCTAATTGGGAAAGTCGCCCGTAAACGCGACCTTAGCGTATTATCCGCGCAGAACTTTGATACTAGCCAGGGTTCCTATCAGCCTTCGGAATCCAGCTTGCCATCACCCAGCTTTTCGAGAGGGCGGCACTTATGCAGCATCGATGTTGTACTCAACAGCATTTACAGGAACCCGATCGAACTCACCATGCCGTGTACAAGAGCACCAAAGCTTCGAGGTGCGAACGGGGCGGCCGTCAGCTCAGGCCCCAGCGACCGAAGGGCTTCTGTCACTACGGCCACCATGACCGAGGACGGGCAGCCCAAGATGGCGATATACCGGACGAGAGAGGTGGTTGTTGAAGTAGAGACCGTACGCGATGAGGGGCACCAAGCGACGACAAGCCAGACGAGCCAGGCCGGCTTGAACGATCCACACGAGACGAAAAAGCACGAAGACGACTCTTACGTCAAGAACCTCGGTGCCGTCCAAAAGTCGTTGGCGCTGCCAGAATACCATGCTCCATGGGCTGCACAAGAATTCTGTCCAAAGATCTGGGACGGAACGAATTATGACGAAGACCTCAACCTGCCGACGTCGGCTGCGAAGGTTGGTGCGCAACGGTAAACCAGGTCGTGAACAGTGCCCCTGTTCATACGAAGGGGCTGGCAAGATTAAGGATGACAAGAGAACGAGCGGGCGGGATCCGATGAGGTCTCGTCTCAGCAATGGGAGTGCTCGGGCCGAGACCTACAATATAGCTAGACGGGGACGAGCGGGTGTGACGGGGCAAGGCTCGGACGAGGCGATGAAGACACGCCACGCGTCAGGCCGTGGCGGAATCGCTCAACAATTCCAACCCCGTTCTGCTTACGGTTGCCTAACTCGACATCTTAGGACTAATAGCCGGGCTTATGCCGTGCTCTCTGGAACCACCCATAGATTCGCCGCTCCCCCCTCTTCATATAGGTCTCGGATATATCTCTCCCGTGTTCTCCAAGTTGATTGAGGGCAGATATTTTCCGCCGGATTACACACATCAACAGGATCGATTGTAACATGGCACGCGCCACACTTTCTAGCTGTGCCGGAGGCGAGCATTTCGACCGCAAGGTTCCGGACCACGCTTATATCAGAGGAAAAGTTGTTTTTCAGACGCGTTCGAGATCTGGATAACTCCCGAAAGAAAATACGAAGAGGACATATTAGAGGCGAAGGGCCGAGAAAGACATTCAAATGTCAAGTTGCACCCCCAATTGCGATACAAACTACGGATTTTTGGATACTTCATGAGAGCGTGGCATTTTAATGGCGGGATAGCCTATAAACTATTATGTGACCAACTTTGGTTGGTCTCCTTTAATGATTTTAGCAGGAGCGAGCTCTTTTTAACTCTATCAGGAATACCCTTGGGCTACATAGCTATTAAAAATGGACATCTTTATCAACATGAGACCTGTTTATGATACCCTCATCCATGACAATGACTGTTACACCCAATCGCTTTACAAGATATCTAATCCGGTAAGCTACTGTTTTGAACAAGGTACACTGGCACTTATCGAGGGTTGATATCTCAGCTCTCCTGCATCGGAGATGTTGGCTGATGCTACATATTTCGACTAATCAAATGCTTCATCTCTTGTGTCAAATACTTGAGAGATAGAAGGATAACCACGCCTGTAACGGCCCGTTCCTTGAAAGTAGATACCATGTGGCCCGGATGGCTGTGAGTTACAGGTTACTCATGCAGTTTGTGGGACTAATACTAAGGCTGATGGGAAAACCCGATCTTTCTTTAACTTTTTGGCTCTCTAGATATGCTCTATAGTATCCATTACCCTTTCCGATGCCTTGGATTGGTTACAACATACCGAGCCAGTGCTAGGGAAGATCGAATCCCACCCACCTTTCCAAGCAGCCATGGGAATATTTTTATAAGTCGGGCGAGCTACCGAATATCTTCACACTTCACTGGGCCTCCTATGGATGTTGATCATTGCGATGACAGGACTTACTTGCAAGGTACAATCCTCGTTCGGTCTCAACCAAATCCTACGTCGTCAGTTAAGCCAGCCATAGACAGCTGCCAGAAGCAAGGTTTCCATGATCCTGTCCGGACACAGTTACGCGCTCCGACCTCAGATATCCGACCCTCGCTGCCCCGTCGCATGATCAATATCGTAAGCTGCTTGGTGCTCACCATGTGTGCAATTCACCATGCCATTTCAATCCGCCGTCGTCCTTTCAATCTCATTTTCCTAGTTGCGGGTTTTACATCAAGTTGTAATTCTCGAGTATCCTGATATCTGAGTGCATCCTCCCGCCGCGGTCTTTGACGAGAAAATGCGCACAGCCAACCACCCGTTACCTGCTAAACGGTCAACAGCAAGGTCGTCGGTCGAATGCAAGTAACAACAGCTCATTGGTGAAGTCACAACTTCGTCGTATTACAATGACATGCAGATAGCTGTATAGGAAGGTTGCGTGGTCCAGATTTCACTTCGGGCCCACTGGGGCTACAATCTAGGGCAAGGGGCCTAAAAACAAAGGACTGGTATGATGAATGAGAATGATATTTGGCATTACGGTGGCTGCATATCTTTTCTTTTCTCGCTGAACCAATATGACCGCTTGGTTTCCAAATACTTGGGAAGGGCCTCATACGATCCGTCGCGTCCTGGCGGCTCCGCATGCTGAGGCAGTCATGCAACTTGGAATGACTACATATGTGCCAGTTGAGCAAGACAGACTTCAAGATCGAAGTTCCTTCCCGTCGACCCAGTTCCCGTGCAGCCCGGCCCTCAACCTCATCGGAACCTTGACCACGGCGACGGGCTCCGCAAAGCTTCTCGTGTCGACGACGTGCAGCTCCCTCGGCGGTGTCCGCGCGCCGCGGCCCTCCGGGGTCTCGTAGGCGTTGGTGGTGTGGCCGGGGAAGGCGTTTGGCGCGCGGAACCACTGGAGAGAAGGGAGGGAGGAATACCAGTTTGACTGGGCTTGTCTTTATATGAAGATGGGGACGTCCGCCATGATACTTTGACATCTCTCCCTTTGGCTCCGCGGCGGGGGAGGACACCGAGGTAGAAGGGCACGTTAGGGTCCCATTGCCAGTGCTCACCGCCGGCCTTCAGCCTCTGAATGTCGCAGATCTGAGGGATGATGGGGAACAAGACCTGACACAGCTTTTAGCGAGGATGAGAGAAAAGGGGGGGGGGGGGGGAGAAGAAGGAGAAAAGGAGGGGGGAAAAAAAGAAGACGCAGAACCACAAGAGGTTCTGTGGTGCGACACTCTTACCCAGTTCTCGGTCACGGCGAAATCATGAATCATCCCACAGACGGGGGCCACGAGCCACACCGTCTCAAGGAACGCGCCGTCGGGGCCGATGGTGAAGTAGCACACGTCGGGCGGACCATCGCCCGTGGCCTCGTAGCCGAAGCACACGAGCTCGCCCAAGACGGGATCCAGCTTGGGGTGCGCGGTGAAGGTGCAGCTCGGCAGCTGGCCGTCAAAATCGCAGAGACCGAGGGTCTCGAGGGTGTCCGGGTCCAAGCGGTACGGCGGCGCGTCCTCCTTCATGGCGAGCAGGGAGCCGTTGAAGTACAAAACGTTGGTGTTGGCCGTGGTGCGGACCTTGAACTCGACCGCGTCGGTGTATCTGCTGCAGTAGGCGCCTGAGGGTCCATGTCAGTCGTGGGGGAGAGCCTTACAGGGAGATGTGCGAGGGGCCGAAAAGGGGGGGCGCCGACCTCCAAGAGCCCGGTTTGCCTCTCGTTCTCTGACAAAGTTTTCTGTCCGCGCAGACTTTTGCTGAAAGTCGACGTTGCCTTTAACCCTAAGCGGAAGGCCGACACGTTCCCGTCGCCGTTGAACCACTAGGCACCAAACGTCATCTGAGTCGCGGCGCGCCTCTAACAGTGTAGATCGACCGGCGATTCGATCGGATTTCTCTCGATGCAGTCGGGAGACAAACAGGGGTCGGGCAGACGGGGCAGACGTACGGGGTCGTCCTCGATGAAAGGCGGAAACTGGGAGTCGGGCATGACCCGGTAGAACGTGCCGTCCAGCTCGGCGGGGATGGAGCCGACGATCTCTAGATTCCTGACCTCGCCCTCGAAGCGGCATGGCTTCATGAAGCCTGAGAACTGGGGCCGGTCCGGGAAAGGCTTGCGGGGTGGGTCGGACAGCAGGTCGCGGAAGTGGCCGGCCATTTGTGGACGGTTCCGAGCTACGCAGAGGGTTAGTATATATGTGTGTGTTGATGGCATTGGCTCGTGCAGACGGGGATGTGCGATAGGGACAAGACAAATATTGTTTTCTTGTCTAGAGACGATGCGGAGGAGAATGGATAAATATCCTTGGCCTCCGACTCCTCATGGTCGGCCAGTGAAGGCGAGATGTCCAAAGAACCTGGCACCATAATACAACGTACCCTAGACAGAGACGCCCACCTCTCCCGCGTCCGGAGAGCTCCGGGTAGCCTCGATTGGCTGCGCTGGGCTCATCTCCCCGGGACAGCTCCGCCAAGTACCCCGCGTCGACATGTTTGTCAGCGAAAGCGGCATGTTGGGGGACACCGAACGCCGGAGGTGGTATGTGCATAAGTCTGCGGTCAGTCGGCGGTGGCATCATCATCTCCAGATCTTCCTAATCGTCGTCGTTTCTGGCGTTGGCGGACGCCCGGCTGATGCGTGGCGTGCGTCACATAGAGGTCCTCCGGCCCTCGTTTCATCCGGTCACCTCATGCGGAACCGCCTGAAGTTGATAATGCCAGTTGGTTAGGAAAACACGCGGATGAAAGTAATCCACAATAGCTTATCTTGGGAACGTCTGCCCAACGGGTGTTGAGATCCAAAAAGCCAGGATTAAAGGATTGTAGTCATAATTTGAATTCGAAGCTGTTTGCGTCAAGTATAAATGCTTCCATACGTACGTCTTACCGTTGACGAGCTCTTTCGTCGCGCATTGGTAACGCGATCTTATGATATACAGGTTTGGGATATTATATGGCATGTCCAGGCTTGACAATTATGTTGGGCTAGTCTCCTTTTACGAACATGGAAATCCACATAATAAGTCTATCGAAATGATATATAAATTAGCCGGAGACACGCATCTAACAACAAAACCACCAATAACTTATGGTGGCTGTAGTCGATTTACTGTGGGAGAAGTTTTCCTTTTAACATACCCACTCGTATTCTGACTTTGAAGCAACATTTGATAACCGTTGTCGAAATCCAAAGCATACCCTCTTTTAGGACACAATACAGCTCGCAGGGGCGTCTTCCGCACGGTTGGAAAAGTCTTGTCAGCCCTACGCTCCATGAACGTCTGGGGGAGAGACTCCTAAAGTACTAGCGAACGTAATATAGTAGACCATTGCTCAACAAAGAGAAAGGGAAAAGAAAGGGAAAAAAAAAAACCAGAGAGGGAGAGAGAGAGGGAGACAGGGAGAGAGAGAGAGAGAGAATACATGAACAGCTCATCCGCACTCGCCTAACGATAAGAGCCCGTATAGACCGGCATGATCGGCCATCCCGGTCCGCCCCCCTTTCACCTCCCGTAATCGGACTAATCGGACTCCGGCCCCCGCCCCGGCCTGTCCGCCGTTACCCACCCCGCCGCCGCCGCCGCCCAACCCCGCAGGCCGATCACACGTCCTCCCACGAGCGTCTCCCGCCATTTTGGACCTCACATCTGGCCTGGTCGGCGCTTCTCTAGCGATCGAGAGAGGGGCGGCGAAAAACCCTAGCGCTGGGTTAGAAGTCGAGGATATACCGACTGGGGCTCATTTTTGTTTTGTTTTATTTTTTATTTTTATTTCTGAGCAGCCGCCCCTGGACAGGAACTCCCTCCCCTAAGGCTAACATCTTTATCACTCTCTCTCCTGTGCTGTTCTGCGGTTGCATTTCATCGGCAATCCGGCCAGGCTTGGCACTTGGCGCATTCATTCCACCCTCTCAGGATCACCGCCCAAAGCATTGCTAGCCAACCCACTACACACGCAGCGATCCACGTCCACTCCCCCCCCCCCCCCTTTTATTTCCCCCTCCCTTTTCTTCTTCCACTTGTCTGTCCAGCCTGGCTGCTTTCGGACAATGCCCGTGGAATTATTTGAGAGACATGCAGGCATGATGATTATTCGTCCCCCACCCCCACCAAGATCGAAACCGTGTGCGTTTCTTGGATTGTCCCGTTCCAGTTCCTCTTTGAGTAGGGCTGTAGTGTGATAAATGGACCAACCGAACCCAACCCAACCAACCCCCTTCCTACTCCCGATGGGGGTTGGCTTGCGTAGACAAACGTGCACGACGTTGAAAAGCCGCAAACCACAGACTTGTAGTGACACACCCATATGTTACCTACTCTACAGATACATAGTTCACCATGTGTTCCAGCAGAGGGCATCTCTCCCCTCTCCCCCCCACCCCCGTGCAGTTGCACCGCCGGAATGCCAAGGCGCCAACCCGGCGCCGAACACCCATCATTCTTTGTCGACTTCACCTCTCTCTCCTCACCCTTCTCACTCTTCGCAGTCCGGTTTTCGTAGTCCTGTCCGATGATGCGCCGAACCTCTCCTGTGCTACCTGACCTAACCGCCCCACCTCCAATGATCATACTTAACCCCCCCCCCCCCCCCCCCCCCCGTTCTCCTCGTAGGTAAAAAGGGTTGGTCTGACCAGGTAGGCCAGCCTTGCCTAGCCTAGCCTTCCGGCAGTGCTCTGAACCCTTGCCCTGCTAACCCAGTTTACCGAGAAAGGCCCCCTCCACAGAGCCAAAAGGACTCTTGGGAGAAACGCAGTTAGACGTACGGAGTGAAAGAATCCCATCTGTGGGTAATCTCGTTCCGACCCCCGCCGGCTTCCCGGGCGTTGACTTCTCGCGGAGCCGAGGCTGGCTGGACAGCCGCCGCCGCCGTCGCAACCCCCTCGCCCCCCCCCCCCGCCCGGGTTTTAACCCACTTTGATGTGTCCTCGTCGTCATCGTTGCTCACTCACCGACATTGAGGCGATCGATGGACTCGCACCCGCACCACGCCGCAGTTCGCCCATCGTCACGAGAACATCACGATGCATGTGCAAAGTCGAGCATCGAGTGTGACAGTTTACACGGTTGGGTTGGAATTGCTTCTAATCCTGCCTGTGCCGACACTGGCTTCCTCAAGCTAGCCGGTCCGTGGCCCTCGTCTCCGTCCTCTTATCGTAAGCACGCACGAGGGAACGAATCCTGTGCAAATCAAGACTTTTACAGTCGTCAACTCCACTCGACCAGATACAAAAAAAGGCCCCTCTCTGGTGCCTTCCATCGCTCATGCAAAACCAAAGACTTCGACATGTAACACATTCCAGCATACATGCGAAGCTTGACGGAACGCCTACTCCCACGCCCGCCGAGACGACAGCTCGGCGGGTGGATGAGCCACCAATGTCCTTCGGCCCCAACCCCGCTCGCCGGCTTTCCTCTTCCCTTGCGGCCCCGTGTATCCCACGGGGTGCGTTGTGTACGAAAGTCACCAGGCAAGCCCTGCCTTCCCCGTAGTTGCGCCTTGTACCGCCGGTCTTCGGCGAATATCCAACGCGGCATTTTTGAAAACAAAGAAAATGGAGAAAGAAAAAGAAAAGAAGAATTGAGGTGGTGGTAGTTACAGTCCGTACTCCGAACCTGAGTGACCCGTGGGGTATCAAGAGACTGAAGATAACAGTATAGATTCGGCGGAAGAGTTAGTTTGGGTGAATATGTAGGGACGGGAAGCGCCCATCTATGATGCTGGTTGTTTTTCCCCTCTCTCCATGTTTCGGATCGAGGTAAATTAGACATGGAAAATATTATCATTGCCTTGATTGATGGTGCACTTGTCGTGCGCAAAACAAAAAGCAGTTGCGCCACCATATGTGGCAAGCGAACTGGCCACGACCTCGAGGCCGAGAAGAGGGGGGGGCCCTGGCATCTACTGGGTATCTTGAAAAAAGTAGTAGATGTTGCCAGGACGCGGAAGAAATGGCCTCGGGTCGGCGGGATGATGAGGGAGGGGGGCCAAGGCGAATCGGCCGCCGAACTCGTTGGGAAAGTCAAGACGAACACATGCCTCCAAGCTTCAAGGCAGGTCACGGCGGTGGTTCGGGTCATGTGGGGGAAACTGGTGGTGCCTCGCGTTGGCTTGCGCGGCCATGTACTCGGCGGATCCCGTCTGGCGACCAGGTTGCTCGGCAGGTAGCTTGGTGTCCTCGCGTCTCCTGGGCGGGGCTGCGGCGGGCGGCGCGCTGCCGGACGGGCTGGGCATGCCAGGAACAAGATCGGTGACGGCCTGGGCAATCGAGTTGATGACGTATCCACGAAGCTCGCGGTCTTCGCGGCTATCCTCCTTCTCGAGTCGGAACCTTTCGTCCTTGTTCATGTTGCTGCGCCGGATGCCCCTGATCTCGTTCAGGATGTAGAGCAGGACTTCCTCGGGGCAACGGTTGCGCTCGGCGGCGAAGTCGCTCTTGCGGACGTATCGCCGGGTGACATCGGTGGCGCCGTCGATGGAAAAGGCGATGCAGTACGACATCTTTTTGCCCCAACCCTCGGTGTAGAGGCGGGGGTTATCCCATGCCTCCTCGCAGGCGTCGACGTGAACCCAGCGTTTCTGGTGCTCCGAGTAGACCTCAGTCCAGACGTGGTCTTCGGCATTCCACACCCAGCGAACCCTGCCTCCGACGGCACGGCAGAGCATGCTGAAGCAGTTGGCCCATTCGCCAACACGTCCTCGACGGGTGTGGATGAGTCGCCACACGTCGCCGTACCGCGGGAATCGTTCGTAAGCGCCGCAGTCACCGGCCGAGCAGCGGTAGAGCTCGACTCTGAGTGCGCCGCAAGCGCTCTCGTCGGGCGTCGGGGGCGTCATGCCTTTGGCAATTGTGGGCGAAAGGCAGACAGGGCACGGTGGATTGTTGATCCAGGTGAAGAAGGATCGCTTGAACCATCTGAACGTAGTCGTCAGGACGGAACTCTTTTACGTCGCAGGCAGGGGACAGTGGAAAAGCGAAACTCACCTCAAGAGCGCTCGGATGACGCAGTCTTGGTAGCCCCAAGTGGCCTTGCGTCCATCTCCCATGCTTTCGGCCTCGGCCTGCATGACTTGACATTCCTCCTCGGCCTCGCCGTATATCCGATCGAGTGGTATACATTGCAGGGCCTCGTCCAGCAAGCCGGGGTTCTCGTACTTGGTCGGGGTCAGGGAGAGGCTGATCAACAGGTTGCGGAATTTTTGTGAGTCGCGGTCGTTGGCGGCGGGAGGGGTAGGGATCTTGGGTAGGTGACGGGAGTAGGCGGGCGGTGTTGGCGGTACAGGTGTTGAGCCGTGTGATGTCGAAGGGCGACCGGGGCCGGGTGAGGCGAGACCACGGAGGTTGGTACTACTTGTACTTTCCCTGGGCTGGGGGCTATTTTGGCGAGAGGATGCTCGGAGGTCGTTCATGCGCTTGTCACGGAGGAGCGACTCGAATTTTACTCTCAGGTCGCGAGCCCATTCTTCGCCATACTCTCCATCGCCGTTAGGGGGGCCTTGGCCCGGCGGGTAGCCGTGACCATCCATTTCACTGTCGTTGACGGATTTTATTGCGTCTGTGTCAGTGTCGTCGTCGTCGTCGATGATGAGATGAATGACAAAGTCGGGTATGTCGCAAGGAGTGGCGAGTGGGTAGGTATTAGGACGGAACCCTCGACTTGGGCAAGTGGTCTAAGAGTTGTGTGATGGTATCAAGACGGCGGTGCGAGTTGGTTTTGTGTCGTCGTGGTCGTGTTCGTCGTCGTCAGCGTGAGTGGTCGTCAGGAAGATTCGTAACGTCGTCGAAGATGTCAATTGGCACTCGAGACGGATTACTGGCGTGGATAGTATTTGGCTTCCCAATGTTCCATCGATCAAGTCTAGGCCAGGCGAGGCGAGGCGATGCTAGACCTTCTCTCCTGCTAAGTGGCGTTATCGAGGTCCTAGCCCAAAGTGTCTTGGCTTGCGGATCGGTCGAGTCTTCCAGACTCGGGTCGTCGTGGGGGAGTCGGGTGTTGCTCGACGAAGCGATCGCGGCCTCTCGTGAATGGTGTTTCTTCGCAAGATTTCCGGCGGCCTATCGGTCGGTAGAAATCAAGAGTCGAAATCGCAGACGGGCGAGGTACGGTGGTGGTGAGAGGGAAGGGATGGGGAGATGGGGGTGTTGAAAGAGGTGATGGTAGCGGGCGGAGAGGAGGGTGCGACTTGGATTTGGGGCGTGGGCCGTGCCAGGGGGTGGGGGGGGATGGAGGAGAGGAAAGTGAATGAAGAGAGAGTAAAGGCAGATGCAACGCAAGCAACGCAACGCGAGGCAACGCAACGTAGTGTACGCCAGCAGTACCCGTCAGGTATAGGTAGGGTAAGTGAGTGCGTGTACAGTACTAGAGAAGAGTGCGTAAAGGGGGGGGGGGGCGGGGGGGGGGGCAAGCAGCAACAATAAGGTCTAAGGTGGGAAAACCGTCGAGCGACTAGGTACACGTAGACACGTAGTAGAACTTGGACTAGGTATCTGGACTGACAAAGAGGGAGAGAGAGAGAGAGAGAGAGAGAGAGACAAGGGAAAAGTGGAAGGGGTCAAGGTTGATAGCAAGGGGGGAAGGAGGGAAGGACGACGACGACGACGACGACGACGAGGGGGGGCGTGGCAGAGAGGAAGGAACGCATACGCACGCTGCTGCTTCCTCTGACTGGCCTCTCTCTCTCTCTGTCTGTCTCTTTCCTGTACGGAGGTTTACGCGTAAGCTGCGCAACTCGGACCAATGACAGGGGCAGCATCAGCCCAGAGGGTGGGTCCCGCTCAATCCGCCCCGGCACGTACCACCGCACCACGACTCCAACGCTCTTTCTCTCCTGCTGCTCTTGCCTAATGTAGACAGGTATCGGTACCTATCAACCTGCCTCGACCTTGGGTACCTACATAGTGCCCGTACTATGTACTGCTTGCTCTTGCTTGCTGCGAGAGAGGGCGAGGCGAGGGAAGGGAAGGAGAGCACCAGTCCACGACAGGGGAGGAAGGAAGGCCAATATTGGTACAGTACGGAGTACTCGCACGTGTGTATCCGTACACAGACACACTGCTCCAACGTCTGTCTCTTTTGCCATCCGTCTCTTCGTCCACTTCTCCGCTAATTCGCTCGGTTCAACATTTCTCTTGCCCAGAACTCCAGCCAGGCACGCTTTTGCACACGTACGGATACCGATGCCGATACCTACCGATACCGATACAGAATATTCGTACACTGGCGACGAATGCACTCAATCCAATTTGCAGTAGCCTTCCCTTCCCAGCAATAGATGGACAAGCTTATCGATAAACCTTCCGCTCGCCTCCCAAATATTATCAGACCGATGATGCCAAGCCTTTGTTGCACTGTCCAGAGGGTTGGGACTCTCATGTCTTGGATGCTTATCGTACAGCCCGCTCTCAGGCCCTTTGCCTCCCAGAGCAACGCAAGCCTTGGCAAAAAGTATCCGGACAAGGCCAGGCACCGGCTACGTTAACGCAATCCAACTGATGACGACTGACCTAGTCAGTAGGTCGGTCATAGGCCATTCATTAATTACACCAACTACTCTGTAGACTACTACTACCTTACTTTGGCAACGCAAACTGGGCTAGCCAGCAGGTCCATCGTGTCTGGCTTGCCGAGTAGACGTTGGGGGCGAATGCTGCCGCCGTGGCCAATCGGCCAGTATCCTCACCTTCATTCGGAGCGATAGCTGCGCACGACAATGGACGACAATCGAGAGAGACGCTCAGGAAGATGGATTTCTTCCCATCGGTGTGTACTCTACGCTACAAAAATACTACAAATGCTATTGCGGTACGTACCGCTTACTCACTCGTCAGATTCACCATAGCTCGAAGTCCGGACGACGACGACGACGCACACGACGACGGCGGTACCTTGTTGATGTACCGGTACCTCTCCCACGAGTATGTATACCTACCGATCTACCTAATTAAAGCTGCTGTCACTGGCCTGGCCCCCATTCTCATGGGTTGTCAAGTCACACACACACACACACACACACACACACACACACACACACACACACACACACACACACACATCCCCTCCTCCCCCCACACACACACTTACTCACGCTTTTTCCTCACTGTGACAGGAGTTCCGAGTCTGGCGGCCCCGAACCGTGATGACGAGGCGTGGCTGACGGCTATTTCCAGCGTCTGCCCAGGCCTCCAACTGTGTGGCTGGCCGAGACATTTACGCCCTCTCGTACAAAGATGCGCGTCCTTGGATTGGCCACCCTCCCTCGATCCCGGACCTGTGGCTCAGCTATACCCCCCTCGAGCTCGAAGCTCGAAGCCTTGCCTCAGCACCAGCTCCACACAGCACCACACCGCACCGCAGCACTGCACGCACGGCGCCGCGCTCTGTTCCCGCATCCTGAGACAAGACAGACTTGCATCTCTCCGCCCTCTGTAACTGGAACCAGAACCTTGGGGAGGGAAGAGGTCTACGGAAGACCGCTGCTCCGGCTCCAGGCGTCGATGCTGACGACGAGCCTTCGCCGACAACCCACCCCCTAAGGGCCCAAAGGAGCCTCCCAAAACGCTTGCTACACTATGCATGCCGCCAAGAGCCATCGCGTCCCCCCGCCCTGAAGCAAGGCGAAGCATTTGCTGCTGCTGCAAACGAATCTGCCGTCGAGCGCCGACCGAAGCTCCGGGAACAACCAACAGACAAAACGGCGCCGTCGCCGAGTGCCGAAAGTCAAGACGACATACACCCGAGGGCGACGCTGGCGACGACGCGCGACTTTAGGTACAAGGGCAAGTTTGCTCCAGCACCGTGCAGTGGCGATGGGTTGTTTTTTGTCGGCTCTGTCTGTGCCAGGCGCAGTTTCGCTGCCTCGCCTATCGCGCGTCTCTTGCGGTACTTTCGAACCCCTGAAACTTTTTCTCCTGTTGCTGGTCACCTACTATTATTGTAGGGTTTTCCTCTCGGCCCTTGCTAAATCACCCTTCTCGCCCTGGAGCTTGAGTCGTCTGTGACCGGTGTGCTTCTCACAACCAATTTAGCGCATCCCAGACCTTGAAAAGCACAACAACGATGACGACTCAACCCCAATAAAACGTAAAGGGAAGAGCCAAACAAAACAAAAGAAAATCTTCAACGTGATGCGACAACCTCTATTTTACACTCTGTTTTCTATATACCACATTTTATTGGTCATTCCCTTCCGGCGAGGGCGTCGCAGGGGGCTCGATGGCCGTTCGCAACTCTACTGCAGCCAGGCACACACTCAGAAGTATTCGGGATCTCCTGGTTGTCCACCAAGAAAACAACACCCCTGGGGTTCAAGGTTTCTGCCTCGCCTCCCGCTCAGCCTTGGTTTCCCCTCCCGACCCTGGCCCCTACCTGTCCCTACCTCCCAAGTATCTGTACGAATGCCTAGCTATCCCGTCACGTTTCTCCCGCATTCCTGACCGGCCTCGACGTTGAAGACTGGCTATTATACCCATCCCTGGGACATCCCTCACTGAAGCCGAGCTTCTTTGGGCGGGCCAGGTCTTGCCAAAATCTTCTGCCGGTCGCCCTCTGGGCCGTCAACGATGAGCTCTCTCTCTCTCTCTCTCTCTCTCTCTCTACAAGAGCCTCGCCCGTATCAGTCCGATCTCACGTCGTGTCGAGTCCTCCATACTGTTACATGGGCTTGCGTCAACGAGTGGGCTCGCCAATCGTTCTTGCAAAGTCAAAATGCCTACTGACATGACTACATGCCAACGTCCTGCTTAATTATCTCACCTCGTACAGGCCGAACGGCCTGATTGGCTTTGATGAGACGAACCATACGCAGGCCTGATTCCTTCAAACAACACTCTCGCCAAAAAAAAAAAAAAAAAAAAAAAAAAAAAAAAAAAAAACCATCCGTCTTCAGGCAGAATGATGACGAGTCAGCGCGTCCTACGTGCTGGAGCTGAAGCCCCCAAGGCCGTCGTCCCTACGCCCAATCCGCTCTGTGTCGGGGGCGATCGGTCCAACCAAACGTCAGCACTCGGCGGTCAAGTTTAAAGATGGTTGATACCATCGTGAACGACAGCAAGGATATCTGTTGCGGACGGCGTTCCGACTGATTCCAAATCGCACACTGTCTTTTCGGGGGAGGGGCCAGCTTGTCGGATCACTCCAACGGCCCAAATGCGACTCGACTTTCCGCCGTCTGGAACAGAAGATTTGATCGACGACCACGATGGTCGTCTCTTACAGTAGGTCTGGTGCGTCGTCGATGCGCCGACGCCCCTGGGCGTGAACCTTAGCGGCTCGGTGACGCGTCATCCCCCTTGTCTCACGTCGGCGCTCCAATGGTGGCTTGCGTGTTGTTTCCAAACCCCGTTGCCACCCCACACGAGACTGCACTACCGCTCCCCCCGTCTCCTCTCGAACTGCCAGGCTGCCACAGACTCGCCGAAAGACTGGCCCACGATTTCCCACATCGCGTCTTACTCGCGAATCAGAGAGCAACAAGACACGGCCTGGCAGCTACCGGTATCTCATTCCTCACTCCGCGACGGATCTCGGCATGCTTGCCAATGTGAACTGCATCGTTGCTGCCCCCCTTCCCCTCTGCAGAAGTTGCACGTTGTTTGAATTCTCGGTCACGGTCTCGAGTGATAGTTTGAGAGACGAATATACATACGTACGGGCTGCATTCGCATAGAGCGACCGGGTCGGCATAATGGAAACGAAACGACGAAGCGGTTCGGTGCGCCTACGGAAGCCTTGTCGTCCCGTTAGACTGCTTGACGAAGACAGGCCCACGATGAGACGAACGAGGACGTCCAAAGAATTTGACACGCTCTTGCGGACCACCAAAACTTGACAGACATCCAAACATTTGCATTATAACCGGTCTCCGAGACGGCAATTATCGCCTAATTTCTCCTCGGGCTGGCCGGATCGTCTGCAGCTTGAATGAAGAGCCGGATCCCGAACCGTAGTACGCATGCCATTTGCTACACCAACCCAGAGCACGAATCCCTCCCTGTTCGTCCATCATTGTCTCGTCGCAGACGCCGAGGCATCGACTCATGTCTGCAACCCTGTATCGTCTACCAAAGATCTTCATTCACATCAGACCCGGCCCTGGATTGCGTACACCAACGGCCTCTTGGCCCCCATTCTGCCCCTTCCTTGAACAATGAAACCGGGTGATTGGGATTCCTAGGGCCAACACTGATGAACGTACGCCACGATTACTGGCCCTCTGCGGATATTGCAATTTTTTAAAGAAAAAAGTCAAAAGACGGCTTTTATTTGCTCCGTACTTCCCTCAGCTGCCCCGCCCCCAACTTACCGGCTCTGGCGAATCTTTTCCCTTCGTTTGTCGAATCTTACGAGCATCCCCAGCCTTGAGACGGGTTTCCCGAAGCCAAGCACCCTACCGTTTTCTCCCTGGGTGCCTGAAAGAAACGGCAGAGAGTATTCGCTCTCAACAGATCTAAACTAGTACTCTGTATCTCCTACGCTCCTCCGCGTAGTGCTGCTTGTGCTGTTGGGGTTGCTTGCGTAGTCTGACCCGGGCCGGCGTTGTTTGTGCGGAGGGGAGGGGGGAGTGTGGGCAGAGAAACCTCCAGCGGGACGCGCGTACCCTGGACCCTTCTTGGCCTCTGACCCTTGCAGATCACCACTTTGGAGAACAGAGACTGCTGCCAAAGCAGGGCCGACTTTCCGGCTAGCGGTGTTCGATAACCCACATTCTGAACTGCCCAAAGCCTTCTTCTAGTCCCCTGGCTCGCTTAAGTCCTCCAGCAAGGTAACAAGCATGTACGGTATTGATACCTCCAGGCAAAGGATCTTCCTGGCCTGCGGGCCACATCCGGGCATATATGGGCCCTTTCCTCTGGTCTTTGTCGTTCGGCTCCTTGGCGACATCGACAGAGCCTGTGGCTCCTCACATATCCGTCCCTGCTGTGAGCGGTCGGCGGGTGCTCCATTGGCACCCCGGCCAAGACACCAAGTGGGTCTTTGACTCTAGTGTTATCAGAAGATGGACGCCAAGTCGCGCGCGCGGCTCTTTGTGGCCGAGTTCCTGGCCCAGTGGAAGATACACGTACCACGAGGCGGCTTCCGCGTTTAAGTCGTGTGTACGCAGCACGGGTCGGTCCCGGCGCCTCAAGATGACGACGACGCACACCGGACGACGGGCGGTGGGGGCACATTTCTCCGATCTTTTGTGCGCTAGGTAGCTTCGGAGGGGATTCTGAACGGCAGATGGGGCCAAAACAACAAGGTATCGAGATTATCGGCATGTGGGTGGACCGGACCTACAAGGTAACAAGGCTCATCTTACGCCTACTATGGGTTAAAGCTTAAAGTCGTAAGCTCGTCTGCAGTTGGCTGTACGGATTACGTGGGCGTCCTACGACAAGGTTGTGTACAGTCGCCCGCACTCTATACCGGTCTCAAAGAGCCCCTACAAATAGGCCTTGTGGGATAATTCGGGTTCGGTTTGCGGGATCCCGGACTGGGTAACTTTTCTTTTTGTGTGTGTGGCTGGTATTGCGGAAGGAGTGAAGCGGACGGGTAGGTGGGATGTTGACGTTGCCGGTCATTTGGCCAAATACAAATTTCTCCGGGCCACAGAAATACGATTCTTACGAGGTCTTCACTCGACGCTTCACCAACTGAGGTTCTATGTCGACGCGTGGTGGGGGAGGGGTGTACGCGTGCTATTCGCCGAGAACGAGACGAACAATCGACCCGGGTCCATGGCTGCGCTGGCACCCCGCACGTCTGTCATCTGTTGACGCGTTGCTGACCCTCGACGACGCCATGGGACGAGAAGATTAGGTGGAGGAGGATGTCTCTTGACATGGCAAGATGGGTCTGTCTTTGCTTTCTCTGCGTGGCGTGGCGTGGCGTGGCGTGTGTTCCGCCGGACAAGCCTTTTCTTAACTTGGCCTTGCTGGTCGATGGATGGGGGCCAAGAGAACTTATCTAAAGGGATAGGTGGAGGGGAGCGGGGTGGGGGGGAGTAACATAATAAAAACATCTGGACGGACGACTTCCTGGGCTCCGGAGCGCTCTCGGATGTCCTTAACGAGTGGAGAGCTGAGCCAAGATGTTCATCCCAGGAGGCAGAGTGAGGGGGTTCAATCACGTCTTTGGATTCTTCGTCCTCGTCTACTTCCTTTTGTCCAAGCCTGAGGACGGGCGCAAGCATGTCATTGATGACTGATGATATCCTCTCTCTAGATGGGAGGGTGAGGCGAGACTCTTTACCATACGTCTTGCTCGTCCTTATTCCCGGTCCTCGGAAAACGAAATCGAACCGAGGGTTATATATATATATATATATATGTTTTCGTATCTAAATGTTGTATCGAGACGACGTGTTCCAAGGTATCTGGACATATGGACGCGCGTGCGAACGTCTTGGAACGTGGAGAAAACAAGATTGTGGCATGATACTAAAGTAAAGATGAAATAGATATGCTAAAAAAAAACCAACTTTTTCTAGTTCCGAAAACCTATCCCGTCACACCCCTTTTTCTCTGTTCCTGGCTATATATGATAGAGAGAGAGAGAGAGGGTGGGGAGATGGGGAAATGTAGCCGGGCAACACGCGCCGGAGAGTGTATAGACATGAAATGACATGACGCACACACACACACACACACATACAACATTGAGCACGTCTGCTGACACTGAGCTCTAATGGTGGTGAAGATGAGAACAAAAGGAGAAAAAAAAAAAAAGAAAGGAGGGAAAAGGGGGCCGTCTTTCACCACTGTTCGCCAAGACATTACGGGGGGCGTGCGCGGCCCTTTCATCCTCTATGTCTCTCTCTTTCTTTCTCTCCCTGTCTCTCTCTCTCTCTCTCTCTCTCTCTCTCTCTCTCTCTCTCTCTCTCTCTCTCTCTCTCTGTATACCTAGACATCTCCCCCGATCTCCCCGACCCTGATCCATAGCTTGCTTCCTCAAGTCTCCGCGGCTGTGTTCGGTCCCACCTGGGTTGATGGTGATGCCCAACAGATTTAGTTCCCCTCTTGGAGTGTGTCCCGTGCCTTCGTGAAAAGTGAGACGGGGGAGACAGTGAGGCCGTAGATGGCGCGTCGCGCCCGTGGGTGCCATGCAATGCGTGATAGGAAAAAAGAAAATGTACATTGATTGCCGTCCTTGAATTCCTGAAAACCTTTTCCTCTCTCCCCCCCGTGGTGAAGGGCGTGTGGAACAAGGGGATGAGTAGCGCCGAGAAGGGCCGGAAGTGACGCGCGGACTAGTAGTCGGTGCTCGTGATGGTATCAGGAGCGAGAAGAGGGGGGGGAAAGGAATCCTCAAAACTTCCCTGGCCATCGGGCCGATGAGATGTGATTCCCCCCCCGTGTGTCTGTCCCACGCCTCCTCCCTCGCCTGACACTCTCAATCGCGCCCAGTACACCGTCTCCCTCCCCTTCGGCGTCTTCTGGTGGGCGGTGACGCGGGCCCCCGACGCCCCTTTACCGCTCCCATTCGTTGGCGCCAAAGTACCGCTCGGGGAGGTCCACCTCCCAGATGGGCCTCTCGACGAGGACGGCCTCGAGCGAGGGGGTCTTGCTGCCGGCGTCGACGGCGGCGGCGGCAGGGCCCGAGGAGAGGGGCGCTATGCCCAGGATGGGACGGTACTTGTACGTGTACCACCACCGCGTCTTGCCCTCGGTGCCCTCCTCGGTCTGGGTCTCCTGGTTCCGGGTGCGGAGGGCGGCGAGCTCGCCGCCCTCGCCCTCGCTGCCGTCGTCGTGGTCGTCGGAGTCGTCGGCGGAGCCGTCGCCGTCGACCTCCATGGCGTCGTCGTCCCGGGCGAGCTTCTTCTCGATGTCGTCTTGCCACTCCTTGGAGGCTTTGGAGCCGACGAAGCGGTCGACCTGGCGCGGGGCGATGGCGCCGACGGCCATGCGCGCGCCGGCGCCGCTCTCGGGTCCCTTGCGCTTGCGCTTCGTGCCGGCCTGGCGCTGCTGCTGCTGCTGCTGTCGGGCGATGGCGGTCTCCGGGTCGGTCGTGGCGCCCGTGGGGGCGGCGAGGTCCTGGGAGAGGTCCAGCATGAAGAGGAAGGAGACGCCGTAGATCCACACGCGCGGGCCCTGCCACAGCAGGCCCTTGGCGAGGTCGCGGGTGTCGCGGATCGTCGCCGGCAGCCTGGAGACGGGGTTGCGGCGGGACCACGAGGTGAGGGAGCCGGCGGCGGGGTGGAAGGCGAGGATGTGCCACGCCGTCGTGACGGCCACGAGGGTGTACTCTGTCGCGGCGGCGGCGGCGTCGGTGGTGATCGTCTCGTCCGAGAAGGAGAGGACGACGGGAGGCGCCGGGAGCTTGGGCAGGAGGGCGGCGCGGGGGTTGCGGACCCAGCGCTCGTCAGCGGGAGTGGCGGCGTTGTCCTCCTTGCTCGAGGAGTCGTCGTCGTCGTCGTCTTCACTGTCGGAGGCCGACGCGGCGTCGTCGGCGTTGGCGCCGTCCTCGGCGCTCTGAAGCACCCAGGTGTCGATGTAGCCGGCCAGGTCCGCGGACGCGAGCATGCGGCCGTCGGGGGAGAAGGCGAGCTGGGTGATGCTCCTCTCGTAGTTGCCGAGGCCGCCCAGGGCCTGGTTCTTGGGCATGTTGCGGCGCAGGCGGTTGATGAAGCGGGGCTTCTGGATGGTGACTGTGGCGCCGTTGTCGCCGTCGCGGGCGACCTTGGCCACGAGGACCTTGGAGCCGTCCTGGACGGCGGCGAGCCACGCGCCGTCGGGGGACAGGACGACCTTGGCGGCGCCGTGTGCGGCGAGGGGCTTGGGCACGGCGACGGAGGCGAGCTTGACGTCCGAGGGCCGGGTGGGGTTCTGGTGCTGCAGGTGGAAGGCCTTGACGTCGGTGCCGGTGGCGGCGACGAGGAAGGAGCCGTCGTGGGCGATGGCGGCCGAGGTGATGTTGGACTCGCCCTTGACGAGGATAGTCTTGAGGAGCTTGCGGTTCTTGTCGAGGTCGGCGGCGTTGCCGTCGTACAGCCCGTCAAAGGAGCTCTGCAGCTTCCAGATGTGAATCTCGCGGTCCCACCAGCCCACGACCATCCTCGCCGACGGGGCGCTGGCCAGGGGAGGCGACTGGGGCAGGCTCGAGAGGGTTCTGTGGTTCTCGCGGCCAAGCTCCTTCAGGGGAAGGACGACGGGAGATGCGTCGGGGCCTGGGGAGGTTTTCTGTTAGCTGGTGGACCAGATGTGTAGACGAAATGGAAAATGTGAGAAAAAAAAAGAAAGAAAAAAAAAAGAGTGCTTACCTCCCGAGACGACGACGCTCATCTTGCTGCTCTCGAACGAGGCCATGGCCTTGACGTCGTGGTCGTGGTATTTCCTGCTCCAGACCTTGCCCCATCTGGCGCCGGAGCCCGAGGTCTTCTTGTAGAGGACGGTGCGGCGGTCCATGCCGCCGCTAAGGATGGCGGAGCCGTCGGCGCTGACGGCGAGACTGAGGACGTCCTGCCTGTGGCTCTGGATGCGCTGCATCTGGGTGTAGGTCTTGCCGTCCCAGATGCAGACCTGGCCGGTGGAGTCGGCGGAGACGATGTCGCCGGAGGGCAGGACCTTGACGCTCCAGACGATGATGTCCTTGGCGCCGCCGGCGAGGTCGGCGCCGAGGGCCATCTTGCGCAGCATGGAGCCGTTGCGCATGTCGTAGGCGCGGAGGGTGGAGTCGGAGCAGCCGACGACGACGACGTGGCGGGACTGGAAGGCGATGCTGACCATCTGGGCCTTGCGGGTGGGGGACTTGACGAGGAGGCGCTGGAAGCGGAGGTCGCCGTCCTCGAGGGAGTAGAGGGCGAGCATGCCGTCGATGGTGCCGGCGACGAGGCGGGTGACGGGGTCCTGGGGGGAGGCGGGGGGCTGGGCGGCGAGGCACCAGATGTCGCCGTGCTGTCCGCTGGCGTGGCGGAGGGGGCGGCCGGCGGCGAGGTCCCATTCGGTGACGGCGGAGGTGTAGCCGATGCTGAAGAGGCGGGCGCGGTCGTCCTCGGGCTCGTTCACCCAGACGAGGCCGTCGACGGAGCGGTCGGCGCCGGAGCGGAGGACGGTCTCCTGGTGCCAGGCGCCGGCGAGGGGGTTCCAGATCTCGACGTCGCCATTTGCGCGGCCGACGGCGAGGCGCGAGAGGGCGGCCTGGTTCTTTGAGCGGGCGGCGGGGTGGGAGAAGGCGAGGGCGTTGATGGCGGAGGGCGGGTAGGGCACGAAGCGACAGCGATGGAGATCCATAGCGAGCGAGGTGGTTTGGTATGTATGTGTGTGTGTGTGTGTTTGTGTTTGTGTTTGTGTGGTGGCCTCGAGGCCGGACGGACGGTTATTCGTGTAGTCAATTGGGGGGGGTAGGATGAGCGGGTTCGCTGGCGAATGGGTTGGAAAATCAAGTCGCAATGAGGACCAAATCGAGGTCGTCGGCGGTGGGAGAGGGCGGGAGGAGGAAGAGAAGGAGGAGGACGAGGAGGAGGTTGTGGTGATGAGGCTGACGAGAGTTGGCGGTGGCAGCTTGTTTCTCTCGTGTGTCTCTCGTCTCTCTCTCTCTCGCGCGCTCTGCCAAAAAATTCGCGGCTGCCAAAAAGTTTTGTCGGCGGTCGGAGGATGGAAAAAATAAAAATAAAAAAGATTTAAGGTGTGGTCTGTGCTCTGGGATGCCCCTCCACCCCACTGGCGGGAAGCATCTGAGAGGACGAGAGGATAAGAGCGCCAAAAGGGACGTTTTGCTCCTGTGGTATATGTATGACAATGAAGGGCCCAACGGCGTTGTTGATTTAGATTTGGGGATCTTTCGTGTTTTTCTTGGTTGTTTTTATTTTCTACTCTTTTCTCCTCTTCGTTTCTTTTCTTTGCGTGTCTTTCTCAGTTGTCCCTGTCAAGTCTTGCACTCACATGGGTGCATGTCATGTGCAATTACATAATAGTGCATTAGGTAAGCGGGTAGGTAGGTACCTATGCTAGATACAGTACGGAGTACGTACCCTCTCTTCTTGCCCATCGGCCGCCGCGTGTTTCACCCGCCGATAAGCTCCCAAGAGTGTCAATCAAGCATCCAAATGGCTTGAGCACCTATTGGCTGCCACAACGGATGGACCCCTTCTTGCCCTTCTGCAGCGGACGCTTGGATTCGCGTCCGTTCGTCTCTGCTCGGCAGGCTTTCTGGACCAAATTCTGGAGAACGGTTGCAACAGGAAAAAAGAAAAAAACAAACAACATTTTTATTATCCGCATCCTCTGCCAGCTTTCGAGTTGCCCTCTCACAACATTTGTTCTGCCACCCTGATAGCGCGTGCCTGCATGCGTGTCTGGGATTCATGGCCCTGTCCCCATTGTTTTGAATCTCAACTGCAACGACTGCATACGTAAAGTAGCCGTACGACGTCGTGCCTAAAACTAAAAACCCATGTCGTTGAAACTCCCGCAACTGGTGATCCCTGCTAGCTAGCTTCCTGCCAGTGTGTGTGTGTGTATGTGTGTCTGTCTGTCTGTCTTATCAATCAGTTCTGCTACTTACTGCTGCACGACTACTCAGACTAACTCCCGGCAGACACAATATGGTACTGATAGAGTACCAAGGTAGGTATACAATAATAGCAACACAGCTAAAATAACTCGTTCCTAAATCGAGGGATAGAAACGCAGTACAATGGAATGTCGTCACTAAACCTCTCTATCCGCCAAGGCCGGCAGAGCTTTCGGGGTCCATTAGTTGCTATACCTAGCTAGTGCTTGTTGCTGTGTCTGTTTTGCTGTCTGTTTGTTCTTCACCTCGTCACATCATACTGACAGAGTACGGTAACCTGCATAATCCAAGCTCGCGGGTTTTAGACGTGTCGTAACGCTGCAATAGTCCCGCCGATTCGTCATCCTCCCTCTTTCAACCCCTCCACATACACACATCCATCCCTTTGCTCCCCTCCCCCTCCCCCTCCCCCTCCCGCCCCTCCGAGCTTTGTCACGATCGCGCCCGCCGGTGACACGCGCATTCCGACCTCGCCCGCAGACTCTTTTCTTTTCGCCAATCGCTCTGCAACAAACACACGCACACGCATAGCATACATAACGCCCACGCACTGATCGACCTTTGCGGCGCAATCGAGACCGCCAATCGGAAAAACCAGCAGCCATGGATTTCAACAGCTCGTCGCCGTTCCCCGAGGGCGTCATATCCTTCCTCGACACCGATCTCTACAAGCTGACGATGCAATGCGCCGTCTTCAAGTATTTCAAAGACGTCCCCGTCACCTACGCCTTCACGAACCGCACCCCCGAGAAGAAGCTGTCGAGGGCCGCCTTCCAGTGGCTGCAGGACCAGATCCAGAGTGAGAAAAGAACTCTGCCCCTCCAACCCCTCCAACCCCTCCAAACCCCGCCACAGCAAGGCGCCGAGGGGTTTTTTTTTGTTCTTTTTTTTTCTTTTCTTTTCTTAGTTAATTTTATTCTATTTTATTCCAAAGGGCAAAGATGATGAAAAGCTCCCACTGACTCACCCCGCGCACGATAGAGCTCGGCAACATTTCCCTCTCGGACGAAGAATACCGCTTCCTCAAGACGCACTGCGATTACCTCGGCGATGAGTACGTGCACTTCCTCAAGGACTTCCGCCTGCGCCCGCGCGAGCAGGCCGTCGCGACCTTCCACCCCGTCGGCGACGACACGGGCGCCGACTCGGACGTTGGCGACCTGCACGTCGAGATCAAGGGCGCCTGGCTCGACACCATCCTCTACGAGATCCCCCTGCTCGCCCTGACCTCCGAGGCCTACTTCCGCTTCATGGACACGGACTGGAGCTACGAGGGCCAGGAGGAGCAGGCCTTCGCCAAGGGCATGCGCCTCCTCGAGGCCGGGTGCACCTTTTCCGAGTTCGGCACCCGCCGCCGTCGCGACTACCACACCCAGGCCCTCGTCTTCCGCGGCCTCGTCAAGGCCAGCAAGGAGGCCGCCGCCAAGGGCTTCGCCGGCCGCCTTACCGGCACCAGCAACGTGCACCTGGCCATGCGCTTCGGCATCCCGCCCGTCGGCACCGTCGCCCACGAGTGGTTCATGGGCATCGCCGCCATCCACGACGACTACAAGGCCGCCACCGAGCTGGCGCTGCGCTACTGGGTCGGCTGCTTCGGCGGCAAGCTCGGCATCGCGCTGACGGACACGTTTGGCACGCGCGAGTTCCTGCGCGCCTTCAGCCAGCCGGTGCATACGATGGACGGCGACGAGAGCCGCTTCAAGACCGCCGACGGCAGCAGGCTGCTGACGTACGCCGAGCTGTTCCAGGGCGTGCGCCAGGACTCGGGCGACCCGGCCGACTACGTCAAGATGCTGCGCCAATACTACGACAGCCAGGGCATCCGCGACAAGACGATAGTCTTTTCCGACTCGCTTAATATCGAGCGGTGCCTCGAGTATAAGGAAATTTCGGAGAAGGCGGGCTTCACGCCGACCTTTGGCGTGGGCACCTTTTTGACCAACGACTTTACGCACCTCAAGACGGGCACCAAGTCGGTGCCCCTCAACATCGTCATCAAGCTGAGCTCCGCCAACGGCCGGCCGGCGATCAAGATTAGGTGGGTTGCTATCCTCTCCCCCTCTCCCCTTACCTCTCCCCTCCTTCTGGGGTATGGCTGCCGGAGCGAAAGGCCAAAGGGTTGCACTAACGACGTTTCCAGCGACAACATTGGCAAGAACACGGGCGACAAGGAGACGGTGGACAAGGTCAAGAGCCAGCTCGGCTACGTTGAGAAGGAGTGGAAGGGCGGCGATGAGACGCAGCGCTGGGGCAAAGAGGAGGACAAGGCATAGGGGCGTGCTGGTGCCATTTAGAGCGCGCCCGGCGACGGGCTGGGGGGAGGATTTTTTCAAGGAGTTATCCATGATGGCACTGCAGAGCCCGGCATCATGACAAGGCAGGGCGGCAGGGGCAAGAGGCCTCTCATTTTGACGACGGCGAGGTATAGACTTTTCGTAAGATACCTATTGATTGATACAGGAATCGAATTGGCCGAGTGCCGGCAGAGAGAGAGACCCTAGATGGTGCTTTTCATGCGACACCCCCCCTGACAGTTTCGATGAGGGACAGTTGAGGGAGCAAGCCTCGTATCGTCTGAACAGGCAGGCAGGCATTGGCCACGGGTGAAGCCTTGATAACAGGCGCCTCATCAGTTCCCCCCCGGCAGAGTCCACAATGGTCTTGCTAAACTCGCCTCTCATTCACCACTGGTAAGACAGACATCACTGCAAGAGCCACCTCGAGCGAGAATGCCACGAGAAGCGAGAGAAACTCGTTGTATTACGACTACGAAAACATGAAGCAGGGAAGATGGAAAAGGTGGGGCGTAAACATCGGATCCGCGGAAGTTCCGGCGGCAGGAAGGGTCTTCCGTTCGTGCCTGCGTCGAGAAACATCTTCGCTCTTCCCTCTTCCGCTATGGTTCGGAACCGGCAAGGAGGACGACAGCTTCCTGCCCCTCTTCACCGACATCCACGGAAGTTGGCAATTCCTATCTCACATCATCGCTTTCCTCTCCGCATCGTTGCCTTCCTTCTCATATCCCTCCTTTCATGGAAGCAGCACAATGCGGCCGGCACGTCTGGCCATACCTATCCTCCCCCCTCTCCCCTCCTAACCTCAATCTCTTCTTCTTCTTCTTCTTCTCCTCCTCTTCCACACACATCTCCATCTCCTCACCAACATCATCCCACCCTCGCTTCAGTTTTGACTCGTTTTCTTGGACCTCAAGTTTTGGAACCTTCATTCCCTCTCTCTCACAGTTCTCTTCGAAACGCATCGAGAGTCATTCCACTCATTCTATTCCCCGGCTATTCTAGCAGAAAACCCTCCATCATGCGGCTTTGTGGCCCTTCAGGACCCTCACAATGGCAGAGTCAGACGATGGTCGGCGTAGGCCTCGTCACTCTAACCTTCTTCACGGCATCGGCCGTCTCCCAGGCATTGCCACGAGTCCGGAACGACAATACCGCCGACAACCTGGCCAAAAGAGACACCAACGTCCAGGCCAGGCAGCTTCAAGGCGCTCCCTGGGGCCTTCCTTGGGGTATTTTCGACGGCGGTCAATCTGCCTCGCCTGTCACTCTCGCTCAACCGGCCATCACCACGTCTCTGCCCTCCGCTGCTCCCGCTGTACCCAATAACCAGCCACAGGTCATTCCAGGGGTGCTCGCTCCTTTGACAGCGGCCATCGGAGGTGCCACACCCAGCAACGTATTGGCCTCTGCCCCCAACGCTGTGTCCACACTACTTCAGCCTGGCGGTCCTCTCAGCCTTCCTCCCGCCGTCCCGAGCGGTGAGGCGGGACAGACCCCGAACGGCGGTGGACTGCTGAATCCCGTCCAGAGTCTCGTCAGCATTATCGTTGGCGCAGCAGGCAATGCCGGTTCTCCTATCTCTCTGTCTGGCGTCACTGGTGTTCTCAACCCTTTGACAACACTAATTGACGGCGGCAGGATTCCCGCCTCGCAGGCCACTGCAGTTGCCAATAACGGAGTTCCTGTCGGTGGTGGTCTCCTTACGGTTACTGCTCTCTCAGCAGCTATCGGCGTCATCACAGCTGCCCCAGGAGTTCTAACCACTGCCTTGCCCATCTCAAACGTCATCCCCAGCTCACTACCCGTGTCAAATTTGAATGGCGTCCTTGGTTCCGTCTCAGTCATCTTGCCAGATGCAATGCCTTCGGTCGATCTTGGTGGACTCAATGCACCTCAACTACCTACCGACTTGGCTGCCACTACACCTAGTCTTATTGGCTCACTCATCAATCCAATCATCCAAGGTGATGCTTCAGTCTCTACCGCCGGAGGTAATCCCAATCAGGCTACAACTTCTCCGGTCTCGGCTGCTTATTTCCCTTGTACAATGGTCGAAATCGCCAATGGAACCCCCACATTCATCTTCACAACCTGTTCTGCTGGTGCTTCTGCTGCACGCCCTCAGCCAGCCGTGTCCACGGCCTTGAGCTCGCTAGCTGTTCCGGTCTCATCATCAACAGTCGGCTCATCCAGCTCCCTTGTTCCACCCGGAGTACCGTCCACATCCTCCGTTCTATCCGCAGGCGGCGGGACAGCCAGCCTCCCTGTGTCTTCTCAAGCCACTCCTTTCGTCGCCGCAGGAAGCTCACTGGCAGGAACTCTACAGACGTCATCGACTACCGCACAACCTACCGCTGACATTGACAATGGTTCTCCCGTCAGTGCGTCTCCATCCCAGCCCGGAGCTGGAAGCCAAGGAAACAGCGTACAAGGTCAGAGCCCCAACTCAACAGGCCAGTCCCAATCGCCTACAACGAACTCAAACGCTTCATCAAACCTTATCCCAGGTACGTCAGCGGCAGCTGCCGTCTCTTCTCTCAACTAATATGTCTTCTCAGTCATCCAAACGCCTGCTGGCGCTACCCAGCCTCCCAGCCAGCCGAACGGCGGTGTTACTGCTCCTACGCCGCAAGCCCCAGCAGTCAGCATCCAGACGACTATAACCGTTGCTGCCGGGCCACCAGCTTCGCAGCCCAGCGAGGCGCCATTGAGTAGCAATGGCAGCCCCACCTCTTCTCCTACACCGTCCGGTGGTTCAATATTCGCCGACGACGGACAGGGCTCTTCGCCCGGCGGTAGCGCCCTCCCAGGCACGCCGGTCATCCCCATTTCCGACTGTCCCGCTGTTGTCCAATGCCCAGCATGTTCGGCACCTTCTGCAAACCCTCCTTCAGGATCTGGCCCGTGCCCGGGCCGAGGCTATTCGTGCTCAGAGTGTCTCAACGGCTGGTTTTGCCCCCCCCAGGAAACGCCAATGCTACCCGCTCCTTGCGGCATGGGTTGGCCATGCTACCACTGCAAGGGCGGCTGGTACTGTGCACCTGGTGGTAACGACGGAGCACCTGTAGGCGCAGACAATCCCCCAGCGGTCGTCATCACAACTGTCACGGCTTTTTTCGCGCCTCTGCCCACCGGGCCTGCCAATGGTGCCACTGGCGGCAATGGTGGTGGAAACGGCAACGGAGGATCCGGCAACGGTGCGGGCAATGGATCTGGAGATGGTTCGGACAACGGCTCCGGCGGCAGCGATGCTGGCAACACCGGAGGATCCCCAGGAAATGGTGTACCCGCCAGCGTCGGTTCGGGCAATGCTGCATCAACTCCCTGTACTACCACCAGCAATACGCATCCTCCTAGCACGACCGTTCCTGGAGGTGGTAGCGGCAATGGTAATGGGTCTGGTGACGTGACAGGCAATGGATCTGGAAACGGCTCGGGCAATGGCTCCGGCGGCAGCGATGCTGGCAACACCGGAGGATCCCCAGGAAATGGTGTACCCGCCAGCGTCGGTTCGGGCAATGCTGCATCAACTCCCTGTACAGCTACCAGCAATATGCAACCTATCACCTCGACTGGTTCCGGAAGTGGTGGCGGCAATGGCAACGGAACACCCAACAGCCCAGGCAATGGAAGCTCTATCAGCACTCCTAATGGCAACGGCCCGTCTCCCACGACTTCACCAACTGATCCCAACACCGGATCAGGCAGCCCCCCTGGGAATGGTTCTCCCGCAAATGGTGCATCTCCAAACAATGGCTCTGGAAACGGTTCAAATAACGGGCAGGGGAGTTCGGGCTCCGCCAACCCTCCATCTGGCTACGGAGGCTCTTCTTCCGCAAGCCCTGCTGCCGGGAACCCCAGTAACGACTCCGGCTCAGGGGCACCAAACGGCAATGGCGCACCCGGCCCCAGCAGCCCCGCAGCTGGCGGCAACGGAGGCGCCGGATCTGGCAACCCCAATGCCGAGCCCGGCGGTGGATCACCCAGCAATGTTGCCCCCAAAGTTGCCCCCGAAGTCTCTGGCTGGACGCATCTTGGCTGTTTCAAAGACTCTCCCATCCGGACTCTGGACTGCGACCCATCCAAGTATTTTGCTGGAAGCATGTCCAATGAGAAGTGCATCTCATACTGCGCTGCGCAGGGCTTCAGGCTCGCCGGCACAGAATACGGAAAAGAGTGCTGGTGTGGCAATGCATTCCAACTGGCCGAGCGCATCCCCCAGGAACAGTGCAACGAGGTATGTGATGGACGCTCCACCGACATTTGCGGCGGTGACTGGGCTGTCACCGTCTACAGTGCCAATGGCCAAGCCCTCAGCGTCCCATCCGACGATGATGCTGGCAACGGCACTGGCAACGGGAACGGCTCTGGAAACACGGCCGGTTCAGGATCTCCATCAAACCCCTCCGCCGGGACGCTTGCTTCTCAGAGTCCTCCCCCCCCTCAAACAAGTTCCCAAGGCCAGCCGTCTCCAGCTCCTGCAGGAAACCCTCAACCAGCCCTTACTCCCTCAGCGGCGCCCAGTGCACCGACACAGCTGCAGATTGATGTAGTTTCACTCATCAAGAGCATCATCAACTCTCTTCCCAAAGGAAGCCTGGATGGCGGATACGGCAGCGGTCTGGGAGCAAGGGACTCTGGGGCGTCTGACAACAATGGAGCTGGATCATCAGGCAATGCCGGCGTTCCTAATGCTAGTGCGGGAGGCGCACCCCTGATGGGACCAGGGCCTGTCATCCCGACAGCCGGTCTCAGTGGTTACGGTTCCCAGAAGCGTGACATGGCAGGCCGGAGCGTGAAGCGGAGCAGCATCATAGGACGACGTGCGGTCGCCAAATCCGACATGGCCAATATTGTCGGAGACGCAGACGGATGTGATAGCGACTGTGTGGTCGAGATTTAATTTTCGAAAAAGGGGTCTCGTCATCATGACCGTATCATGAAATATGTATTATGATGGTTGTTGCTGGATGTGGTAAGTACTGGTGCTAGCTGGGACTTGGGGAAACAGGCGACGGCATGAGATATCGCCTTAACTCGGGTAATATAATCAAACATGGCTATGACAATTGTCTTTTGGCTCCTCAGTGACAGTTTTGGTGCATAAACAGCGAACATAGTGGTCCTACGAACGGTGGTAACCAGGCCACGTCACCTAGTTTCCTAGATGGGACATGGCCACGTTGGAACCAGTGCTCGACCTTGGTGTTTTAATCAAAAGAAGTGGTGAGATTTCTGGGCCGGAGACACCTGTCAGCTTACACGCACACACAAACACACATTAGACGGCTATGCGGATTATGACGAGACTTGCAAAGGCCATTGGGTGGCCGTGGATACTTTGATGATGGGGTGTATCTAATTCATTATGTTCTGTTGTGCCATACGGGCCTAAACATGTTTCCTACTTTTGATTCAGAATGGATATCTTTCGGCTCCTTTCCCGTCCCGCCGCTGTTGCATTTCGTGAGCTGTTTTAGACTGTGCCATGAACACCAAGTGTGGTATTCTTAAGGGGAGTGTTACGATTGGAGTTCATTATCTTTTGGTCGGCCGTTGTATTATTATTCCCGGGGCCGCTGATGGCCTGGGCATGTTCTCGTCGCTTTCTGGCCTTTGGATGTGGGCCATTTCCCGCCTAGATCTGGAGAGCGCCAAAGGTGGCGGCGGACAAGAGGAGGGCGCCGATGGTCAGGCCGAGGGTGCTGACGCCGCCGGGGGCGTGCAGACCGGCTGAGGCGGCGGCGTTGGGCGACGAGGTGGAGCTGCTGGCGGCGGCGCCGCCGCCGCCCCTCCCGGTACCGCTGGGCGAATCGCCATCGTCGCCGTCGCCGGCACCGCCGGAGGCGACGACGCTGGCTTGGGCCGAGGCCGGGGGCGGGACGTTGCCGGTGGCGGTGGCGGAGGCGTTGACGTCGCCGTTGTCGCGGCAGAAGACGGCGGTGTAGCCGGCGCCCTGGTCGAAGAGGCAGTCCTGCAGGTCGCGGACGGACTGGCCGAGGGCGAGGCAGTAGATGCCGCAGCCGTCGTAGTAGGAGACGACGTCGGCGTCGCGGCAGCAGGCGGACATGATGTCCGTGTGGTTGCCGGCGAGGGGCATGGCGCACACGCGGTCCTGGCTGGGGGTGTCGTAGAGGTTGGAGGTGCAGACGGGGGCGGTGGAGGAGGGGGCGGCGGGAGCCGCCGAGGAGGCGGAGAGGGCGGTTGAGGACATTGTTGCGGGGGTAGTGGTGGTTCTTTTTTCTCCGGTCGAGGATGGTTGTGGGTATCGTGATGGGGTGCTTGGCAGAACAGACGGCAGATGAGCGACTGTGAAGAATGAGGGATGGGATGGGGAGGGAAGCAGTAGAAATAGGATCCAAGGGGGGGAGAGGGGGGGAAGAGGAGAGGGATCGATGGGTTTTTGTTTACATACGACGGATACAAATCCCAAGAGCAGCATCCTTCGTTTTCTTCTTCTTTCCTCGTTTTCCTTTGCAGGTTTCCCACCCCTCCCCCAGTCCTGGGGGCTTGCACGCCCAGGCCCCCTCGGTTTCTGTCACCCCATTGTTTCTCGATTGAACACGAGCGAATGCCATGCGTATGTGTTGTCCGTCTGGCCCTCTGTCCAAGAAACTCCCTTCGGGGATCCTGATGGCTCCAGTCTGACGTGTGAAAAGCCGCCCCACCTGCGTTCTCCCTCCCGGCAGTGCCTCTCTTAGCGTGTCACCCAGCAAGCTAGCTGCAGAATTGGCAGGGTGGTGAGCCCCGGCAAAGCCAGCGGGAAGGCGGGCGATCCTGTCAATATCGGGGCCGGTTGGTTGGGGAACCGGCCGGGGTGCGTCCAGCAGCGTCGCAGTCGATCTGGCAGAGGAGCATTTCGTGTATGGGGACGGCGTGCCTTCCCACCCCCCACCTTTCTTCCTCCTCTCGTTGGAGAGGCTCTGTTGCAAGCCAAGCCGACGGCGTCTGGCTTGGTGTGTGTGTGTGGCTAACGTATGATGTACTTGCTGAATGGGCGGGGAGTCACGGCTGCCTAGCAACCGTGGCGCACAAATCGCATAACCAGGTTTTTCTCCTCTCTCTTTGTTCATTAGTCCATAGGGTGCTAGGCGGCGCAGGGAGGGGCAGCTTCGATGGATGCTGTGCCACCACCGGATTCGCCCGGTGCAATGAGTGGAGAGAGACTGATGGTCAGGCCTCTCCCCCATGCTGACGGGTTGGTTGGTCCTAGTCTGATATCGTGAGAGAGCAACGTCGGTAATGGTGTGCACGAGGTGCTGAGACAGACATGTGTCGAATTGAGGAGCTGAAGTGGGCGTGGCCAATCGGGGGAACGGACGGGAAGGGCGCGCGTCATCTGAGACTAGTGTCGAGTCCGAGGTTCAGCTGTTTCTTTGTCGCATTGATTGGATTCGCAGCAGAGTGGCCGGCCATTGGGTGGCCCGGTGATGCGTCGTGCCTGATATTACCGAGTTCTGGTAAAGGAACACTGGGGTTGCGTACCGTAGGTGTCGCGCGACGCGACGCTCGGCCGATGTGGCGTGTGCATTTGGGATATCCTACGCGACCTGCTTGGGCTGGTAAGATGAGCAAGACGAGATGTAGTGCCGCCGGATGATCCGGCCGTAATGTGATTATGGGCAGCTGGACGACCCGTCCGGTACCGACTTCGGGAGGCCAAGTGGGGCCGGGTCAGACTCCGAGTCGGGAATGCGGCGGGTTCCGACTCCAACTGTTGTTTGTTCCTATCTGTCTCCTAAACTGTTGACCCTTGAATCTTCTGATCAGTGCAGGCTTGGGTGATTTCCGCGGCCTAATATATGTCACACTTGGCCCGATCGCCCAACCCTGTTCCACGAGTTTATAAGTAAATATGTCACACAAGTAAATAGGTTACGGTCCCAGGTTGCTCTCAAATGCCTTCTTAAGTGAGTCATTACTTAAGACTTAACCGCTCACCCACCTATCGGTTTCCTAAGTAAATGTTGATCCCGCAACGACTATTTCAATTTTACAAATATAATTGAGCTTAACACAAGCAATGAAATTTGCACAGGAATTACAAGGAGCTTAACTAACAATAATCTTGACCTCCCGCAACGGCTTTTGCTTCCTGCATTGCCGACTGAATGAATTTTCCGTTCCACAACCAGTAGTTCCGGTGTTGGGTAGGTGATGTTCAACAAAATATGCCACAAGTTGAGCCTCGGCGTGGCATGCGTTGCAAGTCTCAGTCGGCATTCGTCCATCGAGGGGGTGACGTGGGAAAGGCAGATCAATCTTCTTGGCGAAATCCTGAGCCCGAGCCGTCCAGTATTTGGCATCAAGCTTGTGGTGTCCATTTTCTAGGCAAGGTTCTTTGTCTCCTGAGCCGGACCATCCGCTTACAGCACAAATGATGTCAAGAGGCTCACCTCGAACCAGAAAAGCAACTGTTTTAAGCTGTCCCTAATCTTGTCCCTAACTTGCCTCTCACGCGTTATGCTCCTCTTACGCGTTATAATAGGCATCTAATTGTCCTGCAAGTACTGCCTCACAAATGATAGTGGCATTGGGAATTCGTTTAGTAATTCGTCAAGTAATTCGTCAAGTGAGCGATAAGAGGGTGGTCGGTGCCAAAGTTCTGAAGTTCTTCCAATCCGATCCACCACAGTTTCAAGTGCTTGGGTGAAGTGTCTACAACGGACAGGATTAAATTTTCCATCCAGAAGTCTGGCTTTGTGGGTGTAATGACGACAGGGAGCAGTGCACTCATGAGTTGACTGTGTTTGACTGATGAAATCCCCGAAGAACCTCAGGTAGAGAGGATCTGGTTGCAGGTCATCTGAATAGACAGTGCCATTGCTACAGTTGTCGGCTTCGGAGGAACCGATGCCAACGGAAAGATCGTGAAGAGCATTTGCCACGCGGAAATGACAGGCTTGGTGATTGTTGTCGTTGCCGTTGACTTCAAGAAGAGCTTCGATAGCACCTCTGACGATTTGATGCTGATGGCTGACTTTGAGTGACGAGGCAAACGTGAGTCTGCTGTAAAGTGGCTCGAACTTTTCCAAGAGATCAAAGAAGCTTTCAAGAGCATCTTGCATTCCATGGAGGCAACGGTAGTGTGTGAACTCAGCAACGTTTGAGCCGAGATACGCTGGCTTGAAGCACATGTCTGTGGCCCCATAAATTGGGAAGCAGTCTTTTGATGCTAGACAATTGGTACCAATAATGTGTAAAGCGTCAACAAAGCCGCGTCTGTCAGCCTGCGACTGTCTCACAGCTTCCAAGGCGATTCCCGCAAGTGGTCTTTCCTTGCAGTAATCGTGTGTTGCTAATAGCTGTTCCTCGTCGAATGAATGCCTCGGTAGCTCTGAAAAACGTTCTTCCAGTGATGCCAGTGGGCTTTTCTTATAAAATGAGCGGCGTCTGAGAGGGAATTCAAGTGATTGCGGGACCATAGCAATCCCAAGGTATCGATACAGCTTAGTGACAACAAGTCTTTCTGCTGAGTCTGGGTCGACGAAGAGTTCTTTCATTCGCGAATTTCCTCTAAGGAAAGTCCTCACTGTTTGGTGGGAGAGCTGCACTGTCCATGTTGGCTGTGCTGCTTTGTGACTTGGAGAGTTCATATCCATGGCGGTTTGCGGATCTTCCAGAATCTCGATCAACGGCCCGCAACAATGGCGAATATTGGAGCAGAATCCGTCCCAACTGGTGAACTCGAATCTGTTTTTCGCTATCGTCTCGTGGTTTCCGTATTCATGCTCATTGTCGGGTAACGCAATTGCCCTCCATAGATGTTGAAGTTGAAGTTCTGTCCATCCCCTGCACCCAATGATCCATTCCAGGACCCTGCCCATGTCCTTCATTTTCTCAATTGAGTTGGATGCTCTGAACTCGTAAATGAATGCGCGGTATAGATCGTCGATTTCATCCGGCATTGCGCGAAGTAAATTAGTCCGGGACATAGCTTTCAAGCCGTCGACTTTGACAAGCCGAAGGAGTCGGTCGACAATAAGTCGGACCCAGAGCACTACACCGTTCGCGTCTACAAGAAGATAGGTCCGAATCTCGGCAAGAGCATTTCTGTCTCAAAAGGAGAAGATGTGGCGAATGAGAAGTATGATGCTTTGCGTTGTACTTCAGACGATGGCCCAAACCACATCTTATTGAAACAATGTACAGGCTAATGTCGCTTGCAGTCGTTGAAGGGCAGCTCCTTCGATACCATAATATTCTCGCATCAGATCCATGGCTCGCTTCTTGCAACCAGCTCCGAGATGCTTTACAATATCTAAACCACAACAAGGATGGGTCGAATTTCTTGAGATTAGGTGGGCTGGAGCTTTTGCAAGCTGATGTCGCGTTTGTGATACTTTGCATTGCGTTCTTGAGACCGGCTGCGGCAATGACGTCCATGGAGTCCAGTCTCACTAGAACAGCAGATGCTTTGACTTGGTTCTCGACAGAGAGAGTCCAGTTTCCGCTGAGAAGCCAAGCGAATATCCCCTGATCCGTGGGTTGACAAACGGCCTAGAAAATCTAGGAGGTCGGAGATTCCGAACCACTCATTGTCTGATACGCAGGCTTCCAATCGATCGATTATGAAAATTGTACAATCGTCTGACTCAGTAACCAAGAGTGGCCAGACATCCTGTAGAACATCTTGTAGCACTCCAAACTCAAAAGATGTACCCTTGGCTCTTTTCAACCGACTTCCGCACCTTGTCTGCAAGTCTCTTGGACAATTTGTGTGAGACCGCTTGTTATCTAGCAACATGCTGACCAAGCCTGCCAGGACAGTAGTAGCTGTCACTGGCAGTGGGAGTGAATTGCTGGGCGGTTCGCAGAAAAAGTAAGCGACCTTCGGCCGACCGCCTTGTCTGGAAGATGTTTCAAGCTCGCGAGAGTCGATCATTTTGGAGAAAAAGGTAGCAGAAGCCAATCCGGGGTCGTCTTGAATACAAAGGCAGCTTTGCTTAGTTGTCCCTTTCAGCCACTTGTCATGTTCTGATCCGAAAGTCTGTAACAATTGAGATCTAACCGGTGTATCCTAGGCTGAAGTAGTGATCGGAACTGAGGCGGGCGTAACCGGCCTGATCGGAACAACGGTAACGATCATCCAGAGACTCATTCGAGCAAGTAAAACAGTGGGTGGAAACAAGAACCTACTTGATCACGTCTATTCGACTCGACAAGCTGTATCTGGCACCGTCGAATTGGTGGGACAGGAACTACAATTGCAGACAGTTCAGGTGGAGGTCCAAATAGAGGGAGTCAGGATGGTTGCACTCGATCCAAGAGCATTTTTTGACACAATCAAGGATCGGCAAGATAAGGGAAAGTATCGCAGCTTCATAGACAGCATGATATGGGGCGATGCTCAAGACCGGGAGCTACATAGCCTTCTGCACCGTCTTCGAAATGAGAGGCAGGAGCTCCATACCCGGATCTCAGTTATACACATTGGGCTGACAGGCAACCTGCAAGATGGGTTTCAAGTAGCCTTCCGTATTTTGATGGAAATCGACAGCAAAGTAATGGAGGGTATAGGTATGAATCTCGCCCTCGCTGAGAGACTGCGAAGCAGAGAACTGCAGTGGGTCGGTAAGGCTATCCAACTCATTCCTGAGTTATCGATCCGCCAACATGCATGTGGTGTTAGACAACGACAATGTTCTTCTCGAGCCTGATGACATCGTGAACTTGAGGCTGGACAGTGGACGTTCGGGTACCTCCGAAGATTTGGCTCCGGAGAACAGCAGCGACCAGGAGGAGATCGTGCTTGAAAGACTTACATTCGTTAAGAACAAAACCGGGGACGTTCCAAAGTTCTTTTGCGGAAATTTAGGTGTTGGAGAGGGTCATTAAACAAGAAACTCCAAGGCGAATATTAGCGAGAAACAATTTGGGAAAGGGGCAACCTTAATGGTTGGAGACGTGGGCGATGAAGCGGCTGCAAACATATCAAAAACTTTCTTTCTATAGTCAGGCCACGTTCTGTATGATTCAGTAAGATAGTCAAGAAACTCTAGTAGTTACTGTTAACAAAACAGTCAACATATAGAGATGACTATCACATAGAGAAGGAAAGAAACTATATAGAGCGCTAGTAACAGAGCTAAAAGAGGTGAATCATTAATCAAGGAGCTAAAGTAGTGCTATAACTGGTGGCGGCTAGATATATAGGCTGTCGCCAGGCGGGACCAAATAGTGCAATCTGCTTCGTACTGATATGGCAGTATAACGGGGCCGAATACAACAGATTGAGTTGTCAACTCATAGATCTCAAAAGTCTGGCGGGCTTTTTTCACGACTGTCGCCGAATGGGACGGTCGACAACAGCACTGAAACCGGTTCTAAAGCAGCTGGGGTCACGGCATCGCCGGTCGATCCCAAACTGCCGCCAAACTCGGCAGTATGAGCTTGGTCCAAGGCAACCCCTGAGAAGCCAATCTCTTCACCGGCGAGCTGAGGTTAGCAATGCTCAATGTTCCGGACGAATTGGCCCATAATTTACCATTAGCATCAAGTCATGCCGGGCCGGGTCGGAGCCACGATCTTCCTACAACTATCACACGATTGGGCTATGCAACGGCGCCGGACCACCGGCGATATATTAAGATACAACCCGCTCAGCCCCGATAGGCTATAGAGAGCATCGCGGCAACAGTTATTCTATTTTGGCAACTGCATTGATGATGGGCATTCACGCCGACGATCCGCGCATGATGAAACGTGGCGCTTGCGGCTGCTCTTCACGGCCTTTAACGCTCCCTCATATATACAACTTTCCCGATGATTTAGGCGTCTGTTGTATCTACTAGAAGCCCGGGTTCAAGCAAGACTTTCCAGTCAAATTCGGACCGGAGTTCCTAGCCATTTACGTCCTTGCGACTGCCGTGAACCTCGCAACAGATGTGGGATACTTACTCTACCATTGGGGTGGGCCAGGAGGGCTTGTCGATGTTTCGTATCGTCAATTTTTCATCCGCGCGAAACGTGTGCATGACACATGTCAGTCGCCGCCGTGGATCGACCAATCATTTTGGCAAGTGGGAAAATGACCCTTGCAGACGTCGTCCGAAAAGGATGAACACCTCGTAAGGCCAATTGGGTAATCGTCCAATATTATTGACCATCTGTGGACCAGGCCCTTGCGAGAACCGAATCATCCACGAAGCTGGGTCGCAGGGAAATAAGACCCCAAGGTAACGAGACCCGTTCGTTCTAAAGGAACGACCTCCTAGCCGGTTGGGAGTGTGATGCTGCGATGGGTCTACAGAAGACGGAACACGGATCAACAGAAACAGCTCTATCGGAGCATTCTGAAGCCTGTGACGATCGATACCCTCCCATGGGATTTAGTCGCGTACGGCCCGCAGCTTTCTCGTTTGTGGCGTCTAGCATGCTGCATGTCTAGAGCCTCAGCTCATTCAAGTGTGTCGCCCCTCAGCCTGGTGATGCCTGTGCATGCTGTCGTCTTACCTGTTTACCATTGTTGTGGCATTGGCGGGTTTGAAAGGCCTCTCCCCCTTGGTCGCATTCATACCTTATTCGACTCTCTCTCTCTCTCTCTCTCTCTCTCTCTCTCTCTCTCTCTTCCGGGCCCTGTTTGCGAAATTTAAGAGTCCATCCCCCGGTACCTGACAACTCGGGGCTGATATTACCACGTGAAACTCGCGACATTAAGGATCCACGGCGGTAACCGAACTGAACAGGACGATGCCATTGGCGCGCGTCCCAGGGAGTGCGTGAGCTTGGCCGGGCTATCCCCACACAGGAACCCCGGATCTCAAACGGCATTGAGCCTTACGTGGGGAGCGTGACTCTATTTTCGGCCGTCTTTCCACCGACAGGACCACCCTTCCTCATCCCCTTCATCCCCCTCATGAGGTCACATCGAAGGAGAGTGTCCGCTGCGCCGGGCCCCTCGTCGGAAGAACAAAAGCAGACCGTACGCGCCCAGTTGTCGTATTGCTGGACCTGCATGCGCTGCCGGCTCACCACCCCCAACACGGCCAACTGAACTCTAGTCCTCTCGAGGAGCGGGCTCCGATCACACCTTTCACGGGTCACGAGAGCAATAAAAGCAGGGCATCGAAAGCATCGGAAGCTTGGCTCCTACCACTTCGAGCGTCGACGTCGTCCTCACTGACGTTTTTGCCTCGGCGTGGATATCGCGGGCCGCAACCCTCTGAGAGCTCACCACCGACGTATATAACAAACCCTACATTTCGAGGATTGCCGGCCGGATCTGCTTCCTCCTCAAGGCACTGGACTGACTTGACTCCCTTTAACCTCGCCACTCTCTTCTCGCCTCCCAGCTTCGTTCGGCTGCTAGCTCGGCTCGCACAAGACCGCATCATGAAGTTCCTCCGTGCCGCCGTCGCCGGCATCGCCAGCCTCCTGTCTCTCCAGGTCGCCGCCGGCCCCGTCGCCTCCCCGGTCGAGGGCCGCCAGGCCTCCGGTACCATCTCGAACAAGGTCATCTTCTCGCCGCCTTCCAACGCCGGCTGGGTCGACCCGCGCGTCCTGTACGCCCGCGCCGTCCAGCTCTCGTCCGGCGACCTGGTCGCCACTTGGGAAAACTACTCCCCCGAGCCCCCCATCGTCTACTTCCCCATCTTCCGCTCCCAGGACGGCGGCGCCACCTGGTCGGAGATCGGCCGCGTCCAGGACACCGTCAACGGCTGGGGCCTCCGCTACCAGCCCATGCTCTACGAGCTCCCCGCAGCCTTCGCTGGTCTCCCGGCCGGCGCCCTCCTGCTCGCCGGCAACAGCATCCCCACGGACCTGAGCCTGACCAAGCTCGATGTCTACGCCAGCACCGACGGGGGAGTCACCTGGAAGTTCCAAAGCGCCATCGCCAGCGGAGGCGAGGCCCGTCCCACCAACGGCCTGACCCCCGTCTGGGAGCCCTTCTTGATGTAAGTCTAGAAACGATACACAAGGACGGACCGTCTCCTTCTCGTGAGCCTCAAGCTGACCGGCCGAACCCGACTAGGCTCCATAACGACAAGCTCATCGCCTACTACGCCGACCAGCGCGACCCCAAGTTCGGCCAGAAGCTCGCCCACGCGACGACGACCGACCTCAAGACCTGGAGCCCCGTCATCAACGACGTCGCCGACACGACCAGCTACGAGGCCCGCCCCGGCATGCCCGTCATCACCAAGCTGCCCAACAACGACTTCATCTTCACCTTCGAGGTCTGCGGCACCGACGGCTGCCGCGTGCACTACCGCGTCACAGCCGACCCCGAGAACGTCCTCGCCGCCGCCGATGTCGCTCTCGTCTCCGACAAGGGCACGCGCCCCGTCAGCTCCCCCTTCGTCGTCTGGACCCCCGTGGGCGGCGCCAACGGCACCATCATCCTCAGCGGCGGCAGCCAGGCCAGCATCTTTGTCAACCGCGCCCTCGGAGACCCGGGCGCCTGGGTCGAGCTCTCCGTGCCCCAGCCCAACGCCTACTCGCGGTCCCTGGCCGTCCTCGGCGACGGCAGCAAGGTCGCCATCATCGGCGGCGGCTGGCTGCCGCCCAGCGCCAACAACCAGGTCAGCGTCAGCGTCGTCGACCTGAAGGCCCTGCTCAAGTTGTAGATGTAGTCAGAATTAGCTAGTTGTAATGTCAATCAAATATTAGATTCGAGTTGACGACACACTGGAGTCCACGCATGGCCAAAGAGTCCCCATCAGATAAAGGAGTGGTTTGTGATGCAACGCACCCAGGAAACCGATCAGCTCCGCCATATGCCAGGACGGATGTTGGCATTTCCCTGGTAGTCTCCGAGACAACTTGCTTGTTGTCTGACGTGTTCATAATTAGATTATATTGCTTTATGCTTGTGCCGCGGCTTCAGAGGCTTATATAACGTCCAGAATATGCCCAACCATCGCTATCGCCTTTTCTTCCTCC